TTTCAATATTCTTCTTGGCAAATATTTAGTAGAAGTAGAAATGTAATTGGCTATATACATTTCCTTTGCATAAGTAAACATTTATTTGTACGTGTTAAAACAATCGTGACAAGTGATAAATTCGTGACATTGAGAATATCAGAATTTTTTTGTAGAAAATATTTACTCTGGAAAGAATAAACTGAAATTGATAAAACAACTAGGTATCTTCAGTGGAGAAAAAGCATTAAATTCTAGCAAATAATCTCTAAAATTTTTTAAGAATTATTTCACACATTCAATCATTTATAAATTAAAATATTACTGCGTTTAGCTTAAGTATTTTCCATGCAAACTACGGAAATATACTTAAGTTGGTAAAAATATTACTTGATTTAAAAGGATGAGGAACGGGTAATCACGTTTATTTGATTGTAACACTTTTTTCTTCCTGCGTGCGATCGACTGAAATACTCACTCACGTGTGAATGAAGAGTTCACTCGAAGTTTGAGTTGAGCATTCGCTCTCGCGGATTTCGCAGATTTCGCGGATTTCGCGGATGACACCGCCGTCGCTTCGTCGCTCGCTTTTCGACTTCGGGATTTCACTCCCGAGAAATTTGCAAACTGTTCTATACTGCAAATAACGACATGCCGATATCGCTGCGCGATACGCATCCGGCCGAGAGCGAGAGAGCCTTCGAGAAATATTCGCGATGAACGCACGCCATCATCTCACCACCCGCAGTCGCGATATTGACGTGAGAGCTCATATCGTCCGATTAATACCTCGTATTGATTTAATGCCGAGATTAATTACCACGATAGCAGTACGGAATTAATGTTATTTGTCGGCCGATGTTTCTATAACGTTCGCAATTATTGTTTGTCTCGCCGTGGACAGATTAATCGCAGCGGATGAATATTTTCGCGCCGGTTCGCCTGATAATCGCGCGCGACGCGGCACGTGCGCAAGCAAAGCCCGCATCAGATTATTGGCGAAGATCGAGGATTGCGGATTGAAAACTGTTGGAACTCGACTCGATTCGGGAGACGGGAAGGGAGCCAGAATCGAAATCAGCCGATTACGCAATTCGCAATGTCCGCTTCGATACACGGGCTTGCCCCATTGAAAAATTCAATTGTCGTAACCAGATTTAGGTAAACGTAACGAAACAATTTACTCCAGATATATGTTCGACGAATCTGATACTGCGAACAAAAAATGTGGTCCCTTAACAAAGATAATAATGAGAAAAGCTACTTCTCTAAGGTTAGGTCTACAATAGTGTTTTAGTTTTTAAGCCTTAAAGCGTCTATTGTAGACTAGGATTAACGGGGATCGAACTTTCAATGCCGCAGTCTAACGCTTCCGAGTTACGAGAGTTATTGTTGCACAGACTTCTTTAAATATATAGATATACTTTTCTACACGGATCGCTTAAAACTTTTAATATTGTGATATCTTTCGTAATAAGGTCATTTTCTATAAAAAGTAACGAATTTTAAGTTTTTCAAGGAACCAGAAGAAACCGAGCAAATAATTCGATTGCGTTAACTCGAACGATTTTATGAAGTTTTTTTTTCACGTTTGATTGATGCAAGTAAAAAATGTCATATCACCAACCGTAATGTGTATATCAAATGTCTTAGTAGCGATTACGAAGATAAATTTCTAAATGTACTTGATCCAAGCAAAATATATTTATTTGTTGCTAATAAAATTTGCTCAATCCAAATAAAAATTTGTTAAGGCGTGTTGAAGTATCGTTTACTTATTCTAGCACTTTTTTCTTCTGTGTACACACCACGTCGCTCCGACTGCTGTCATGACGAGCGATGCTATCGCTGACACGCGACTGCGCGACTCGTCATGCGTAATTTACAACGTCACGGTGTATCGAATTAACGTCACGGTGTATCGAATTAACATGTAATGACCGAAACATTCGAAATTTGCATTCTCCGCTATAATGCTTTTTTTTTCAGTCGCGATCGCCGCGCAATACAGTTACGCGCTGAAGTCATTTCCTACAAATAGGACATCGATGATAATCGCGTAATCGTACCGGAATTTATCGCATCTTCAGCAGTTAGATTTCCACGACGCGATCACCGGTACTTCATCTTCTCGAGAGCCACCTCGCATTCGCAGAACACTATCAATATGTGTAAATACCGAATTTGCAATCGCCACAAATTATATGTTATTTTTCGCAAACCGTGTATGNGGGGGGGGGGGGGTGTAGAAGTACACACTGTTATGAAATCTTATCAGATCACTATCTCCTATTCGAGGTCCAGTAATCGCGATCTCGCTGAAAATCGAGAAAAATTCCAACGTGCACGAAACGAAGAATTCTCCTATGGTAATAATGAAAAACAGAAGTGTCGCAAGTCGCGCGTCATAACGGCTCGCGGCGTAAATTATCAGCAAACTGCCGCGAAATCGGGTTACGCGGAAACTCGGGCCGCTCGCGTTGCGTCGAGTCCGGTGCACCGAAATGTTAATTAATACCGAAATTTCATTGCGCCGAGAGTTATGTACACATTGATGCAGACACTAGCGCGATCCAATCGCATTCCGTTTCGCCGGGTGTTCCGTTTTTTTTCCCCCTTTTTCGCTGTTATTCCTTGCGCGAAGGGGAGCACAACCGATGAAAAACGGGTTTGTTATTATTATTATCCGCCGTATCGGAACGCGAGGATTCGATCGATTTCCGCCTCGCGTATTTGTGTACTTCGACGTTTTTCCCGGAATTCATTGTTATCTCTCGCATTATTTGTCGTCTTACTTCCAGGATCATTATCATCATCGCCCTGTTACCATGTGCGATAATCGACCGATGCCATCGGTCATCGATAACGCTCGCTGACACTCGCTCCGCTGCGCCGATCCATGTAACTTAGATTTGGTTGTTTACGCGCGAAATATAATAGTCTACGACCATGCATAACATGTTTTCTACGGAGACAATATTGTAGTAAAACGCGGAGAAAATACTGTAATAAAAATTACCATGAAGTTTTGTAATGCTGGATTATACCGGAATTATAATTGAAATTTTAATATTTTACGATGTTATGAGAAATCAATAGTGGATTTAACGAAGTTAATTTCACAGTGATAAAAGAGGAAAATAAATATATTATGCGTATTGTGCCTATTGTAATCACGACCTAAGAAATACTGTCCTTTCCCGTTTAAAAGCCCACAGGGTGAATTTAAATGATAACATTTCTGCGTTATCTATACGTATTAAATATTTTAATATTTATTTTATTATAATATTAAACCTTTTAAATATTTAACATTAAATATCTTCATTATTAACATCAAAATTGTGGAATACGTGAACTATGTTATAACTGTGAAACTAACTTCAACAAATTTGTATAATTTATCCGTTCTCTTTACACTGTGCTATACAATTTATAACGTTTCACATAATTTACATTGTTTGCATGAAAAAAAGTTCATGCAAACAGCACGTAAATAATATATAAGTTATTATCCACGCAGACGTAATCCTAAAATCTATACAACCCTGCAAATAACTCGCGATTCATTAGATTAGCTCGTTTCAGCCGAACTAGATTGCACTTTTCGCCCTCGGAGCGAAACAAGCATGTGATTTAGCGACGAAGGGAAAAGGAAACGAAGTTTCCTCAGCGCGGGCACTAACTCGGCTACGAAACGAACAGGCCTGTTATTACTTTTCGGAGGTAACAATGGCGTCCCCCACTCAGTTTCGAGCTACAGGCGAATTGAAATCCATCGAGAGAAAACTGTACACCCCCGCAGCTCGGACGGGGATGCGCAATTCGCGGCCGTGAAACGCGAGTGCGATGACGTGACACGCGGTAAAAGTCGGAGGTCAAAGCAGATGCAACGTCGGGCGCAATAAAAAGCGCGCGCGAGGGATCTCGAAAGCGGGAGAGTTTTTCCGCCGCGCCGCCGGCATCGATTCTCTCGCCTCTCTTTCTCCCCCCTCTCAGCCCTCCACCACACTCCCCTGCTCTCACGCCATAAGAATTAAAATTGCAGGTGACCTGTTAAAGTTTCAAGAATTCACGAGTTCCGCGAGCAGGCTCCTATTCCTCCGGGTCATATTCGACGTTAAACGTGGCCGTTCGATTCCAAGCTCCGCTCTCACTCGAATGTCGAGTAATAACAACCTTGTGCCCGGCTGAGAATCGGAAGGACACATCTGGCACTCGACGCGAAGTCAGTACGACGGGTGCTTTTCATTCGGGTCCACATTCTCCACTCGCTTTTATTTAGTAAAAGTGCCTCTGAAAGTGGCTTAGAACTCACCTGATTGGCTGAGGAGCCGCATGTAAGGCACTTTTATCGATGAAAGTGAATTGAGAATACAGGCCGTAACGACGCGAGCCGACACCAGCATCATTTTGTCTTTCTCTCTCATTCCCCCATAGAGCAACAAAGAGAGGATAACGCTCGGTCGACTTGTCTCACTAGATGAAAAGCACCAAATACGGCGACGGGATACGAAGGGGTGGGGGAGGAGGGGGGGACGCGAGGATCGACGCGGAGATTCTCGGTACCGAGGCGGAGGAAATCATCAATGGTTTTCCCGGAAGGGAAGATACTACAATCGGTCACGTGGTGCTATCGCCCACGCTCGTGCACGATCATTCAAAAATGCGCCGGGCCGCGTCGCGCGCGGCCCAGGTCGCGAAGATGCTGGACGACGCGCGAGTGAGCGAAGGGAGCGACGCGCGATAATCACCCGAGGCAACGTAACACGAAAACACCGGGTTATCGCGCGTGCGATCGCGCTCGGGCAATACGCGATGGCGCACCGACAGGTGTGTGCTCGAGATCGCGAGACAATGTGCAGGACAAGGTGCGAGAGTGTGTTCGAGTCGCGCGAATCGATCGAGCGCGCTACTCGGACGCCAGCGTAGCGACACGCACGAAATCGCGAGGCCGCCGCGCGCGAGTCGCACGCACGCCTCGCGAGTTCGCCTCGAGTGAGATTGTCAGTTTCACTCACCGCGGTTTATCGGCCTGGTTGGACGCCGCTGGGACGCGCACCGCAAACACCGGAGCAGAACTCGGCTAACCCCCTGCCAAGCTTTGACACACGGACGACACACGGACGACAGCTGTTTGCGCTGACGCGCACGGCCGGCAGACTGCGCGCGCGTCGGAACGAGCCGCCGGGGAGAGTAGCGCCGATTGGTCGTGTCGATTGGTTGTGGAGGGAGAGCGTCGAGAGATACGATGAGTCGGTCGGTCGATCTTCGAGATCCGTCGATCGCGTATGCGCGGTCTGATTCAAAAATTTTTTTCATTACACTTGATATTTAGTAACATACGCGTTTTAAGTCAAGAAAATATGTATTATGTATACTTATATAATATAGTCTGTAGTAATAATCTATCCAATAAATCTAATCTATGGTAATATTATTATAGATTAGGTATCGTTATATTATTATAAATTAGATTATATTATTATAAATTAGTGGATTAAGCCACTCTGAATAAAAGTCCCTTACCATTTTGCGTAACACGCAAATTTTTTTAGTTATTGATCAAAGAAGTCTCTACAGATGGTAGTTTTCAATTATTAATAACTCGAAATTTTGTGTGCTGTTTGCAAAATGGTAAAAAGCTTTTTGGGCATTCTATATATAATAATATAAATAATAATATCCATCGTTGCTAGGAGATTTTCAGAAATAAGTATTTTTCTTTATTCAGTGTCCTGTCCATCCTTTCCCGTGCGTTCATTAATTCAGACAAAGTAATTAATTCCTCAATAACTATTGCGAATTTTGCAAAATGGCACTTTTCTGCTTAGTTTCATCCGTTCTATCTGCACACCATGGGAATTAAGAATGACTTAGGACACCCTGTTATACATGTTATAAAAATATATACACATTTTTAGTATAGATTTGTTAGTTAACTAATTTAAGTTGTTAGTAAACTTTTTTAACTATGTACATACGATTTTGCAAATAATAACTTCTACACATTTATGTGCAACCTTGAAATATGCCGACATAACCGATACTTAATATCCATAATTCTATTTTTGTTCTATTTATGACTCATTTTCAAAGATTACTTTCTTTCTCTCAGGTGCAGCGGACTTTTTGTATCGCTTAAAAAATTAACACATGATGAATACGAAAAAAGATAAGAGAAAGATAAGAGGATTAAGGGAACGAGACAAGATGATAATAAAACAGAATCATATGAGAAAGGAAGTGTCGAATGGCGTTGCAGTACCTTTTATTATCAACATTATTAATACAGTGAAACAGGTGGTAGTATCATACAGTAAAATAGTGCCGTTTTACAATAGAGCGCTGTAAAGCTTTTTTCGTACGTTTATGCAGCATTTGTCCGACATTTCCTATTCTGCGTTTTGATCTTGCTTCTTCCTCACAGGGATATGTAGTCCTTGAGTTGTTCATCGGTCTCGGGAGTAAGCGTGAGCATCAGTTGATCGAATTGATTATCGCCCACCATTCTTCGCAACGCGATCAACTAGCGATTTCGACATGAATATTTTCAGTATTCGGAACATCAGATAGATTTATCCGACGAGAGAATTCGCGGAAGATTTTCCTACCTGATGCTGGACCGTGTCTTTCAAGGATACATTGTGTACAGGATCGGTGAAGGCGAGCTTCTTCTGCCGCTGAGTGTGCTCGGTGTCATAATCCACTTCCTCATACTGCGACGGACTTGGTTGATCGCCGATCAGCAAGGAACTAAAAGTCAAGCGTACAATTTTCTACTTAAATGGAAATTGTTCCAATTTCGGGGACAGATTAAGCATGACGAGAAGCATGTCGGATCTTACTCAAAAGCATAGCCCATATCGTCGACCTTGGTGATGTCGTGGAGTGCTTCGACAACCATCGCCATTATATGCGAAAAATGCTCGAAGACCGTGGGAGAATAGTTCCCTCCCAGAAGGGAGCAAAGTGCGAGGGCTAATAACTTACTCCTTTCATGTTGCGACACCAACGCCATGCCGGAAAGCCACACATGCAAAATCTTGCTCAACACAGCCTCCTCCCTCATGTCGTTTCCTTTACTACGCGCTAAATCGCTGATCACCTGCGAGAGAGTAATCTGTAGTCAGGAGCGGATCTTGCCGGCGAATAATAATAATATAATATACATAGACCGGCACAATAGCCGTGAACACATGAAATCACGTCGCTTTAGAGCTTCCAATAAGAAATACATAGCAGCGGAAATATCAGCAGGATAGCCTTGAGATACTATGTAACTGAATTTTCTAACCGTCTGAGCCGTATTGATTTATTATTTATTAATTATTCAAAGAAACTGGAACGATGCGTCGAAACAGTAACCTGTTACTAAGATAATTTGACGTGAATGCCTCGAAACAAACAAACCGTGTGTACCGTTAGAAAATATCAATAACTCGATAATTATACAGCATGATAAGGCTATTACGCCGGTACAGTTGACAGATTAAAAGTTGTTACACTTTCTTTTCGACGAGTTTCGCAACGCGTCCCGTGTCCGATGGAATATTTTTTAGTAATTCTTAGGATACGCGGGATGTGTTGCGAAACTCGTTGAGAAAAATGTTGCAACCTTTAATCTGCAAACTATACAGAATGAAGTAATACTTACCACCTTGAATGTCTTCGAAACTATGAGAGTAAAAGGAAAATGTATCTATCAGAAATTACATAGTATAGAAGCGATTGTCTTATGACGATAACGCTTTTTTCCAGGCGGAATAGCTTCAAAGATCTGAAGGTCACCTTTGTTTTTCTTAGATGAAATCATATAAGTTTTTTTTTTATAAATCGATTCCTGCGTTCATTCTGCCTATAAAAACACTATGGTAGGATCATCGAAAAGTGAGTACTTGATGAGATATTTCATATCTTGTGCTTAAAAATATCAGAATAAAAAGTAAAATATCTCTATTTCGGTGATCTTAGCACTTTTATATGCAGAATGAACAGAGGAATCGATTTGTGTTAAAAAAGAAAACTATGTAACTTCATTAAGAAATTAAGTTGACCTTCAAATGATCTTAAATCATTGACTACATAACGGAGTTAAGTTCACCAACTTAAGTTCTCTCCCAAACTCGACAATTTTTGTCCAAACCATTTTTTTGGCAATTGTTTTCAAAATATTCCACTGTTTCCATTAAAATGAGACCCTGTATATACATGTGCATCACGCTCTGGAAGGGTGTAACTTCATGCGTCGAGACTGTTATGCCTTCACCTTTAACACGCATAATGCGTTACTTTTCTCACCTGTACAAAAATATCTCGAGAAACTAGTAAAACTCTCGCGACAATAGACAAATACATGGTCATGACCATCGGGTACACATCGCCGTCGTAAACGGTCCTGCAAACGTATCGCGTCAAATATTAAATCTCTTCCGTGCGACCCTTCGTTCTCCCCTGGTCGTCCCCCCCCAAAAAAAAAACAAAACAAAAAAAACTTACTCAAATATTTTCAATAGGACAGGCTTGATCAACTCCGCTCCTTGTTGAGGCGAAGCTCTGAGACAAGTTTCGAAAACCTTCATCGCCATCACCAAGCCGTCCGAGCGTAGGTCACTCAGAAGATCCTTCAGTATCTCGACGACTACCGAGCCCCATTGAGTGAAGAAGTCTTGTGGACTTAGCAGCACGTAGGCTTGAGTTATGTACAAACATAAACGCAGATTGTCCGCGGATTGATCTGAAAAGCGAAAGCGCCGGTTGCGCGAGACGTCTTTCAGAGGAATATGCAAGAATTGTGAGGGTGATCATCATAGACATGAAAGCTGATCGCTGCTAACCAAATAAAGCCGGCATGTTCCTGAAGAGACCCAGTATACCCGGTGTCGGTGCGGGCGCGTTCTCCAACAAACTCAGCCACAACTCCAGGCCATCTTCCAGTAAATAAACATGCCCCTCTTGGTTGACATCGCAACTAAGGGCCACGACGTTAACCACCAGAGGTTCCAGAATTACGCTGTCGGATCCTAGAGCCTGCGGAGCAAGACAACGTTTAGGCAAACGATTGTCTATCATAAATATCGGGTCACCGATTAGGTATAAGATTTGTTCCTTTTAACTGAACTAGTGCTGCTGGAACTTCATTTCTCTTCCTTCCAATGCTAGGTTGCATACATGTTTCATTCTAACGGCAAAAAGTGCAACCCAGTTCAGTTAAACAGAACAGACCTATTCGTATATTTACCTTTTCCAAGTGTATCAGAGTCGACACTATGGCGCACCTCAGCATGTTAAATATCTCTGATTGTTGCCAAAGTACAGGGAGATACGTGCTGAGCGCAGCGACATAGGGCTTGATTTTGCTGCCAACGCGCTCGATGATAAACGACAACACGAACAATACGCGCATCTGAAAGATTGTCGGACTTGTGAGATGCGACATGAAAATGTATTACAGCACTGCCATCCAATTACAGGAATAAAAAAAAAAGTGAAATAGTGGCTCTTCATAGTACAGCTTGAAAGTTCATAACAAGACCAAGAGTATGAACGATACAAGTACGAAGCAAGAACGATACGACGTTTTCGGAGCATTTTTATTAAGAAAGGAGGTAAAAATATATTTAGAACGTCCATATTTTACAGATTTAACGGCAGCTCAGGAAAAAAGTGATTGTAGTGACCCATTTTGGACAAAAGTGAATTTTTGAGTGACTTCAAGTATTTATTTATTTCAAGTATTTTTTGAGTGAGTCAAGAAAAAGTGTCAAAAGGTAAGTGACTGGATGGCAACGCTGGTATTATTAACCGCCGAATGCCGTGTTCGTTACTGGTGTCCGGTTCTGTGATATTGCCGTATCTCATCGAGTGACTCTCATTATTACCCTAGAGCAAGCCTTCTCAGAACACGACATGAATACGTACTGAAGATGTTCGGTGGCATACGACAATCATAGTTGTATATAGTGGAGCATAGTTATTAAACGGAAAAAAGTGTCAGTTCTTGCAACTAAATAGGGACCAGATGAAAACTCAATGACGAGAAACGATACCACGACTGAGAACATGCGTGTGTGAACATACAGAATTGCATTCAAATTCAGCCGAGATAACTGAGAGAGCAGAAATTCACTGAGTTGAAACTTCCTGTACAAATCTTCCTAAAATTCCTACAACCGAGTTTTCGTCTGGCCTCCAATGACAATGGAAAATTCAGTTACACCAACGGAATTGATTTTTCCGTGTGCCCTGACGTGTTTTGTTAATAAAAGCAGAGTAGCAACTTAATGAGTCACGTGGAAGATACAATCGATCGCATCTAAGAATTTAGATGCGATAGATAGCCGATGAAACGAGATGAAAGGATATACGCATTTGAGAAATTACATTTATCTACTTATTTTTATAATCTTTAGTAATTCGATTGGTCGATCAAGCTTCTACGTACCTTCGTGTCGCATTCATTTACTTCTTTGAGAAGGGTGAACAGCAGCGAAAACGCCGGTTCTAAGAAAATGGCAAATTCTTCTGGATTGAATTGGAAATCGTCGATCGCCTTCTTCAAAGCGTCGCTCGCGGCTAATCGAACACCCATGTCCTCCGTGGGACTCAGCGCTTCCACCATCAGCATGTACACATCTGGTCTCAATTCGGCACTCAGTTTGATACCTGCAGGAAATCACATTCGAAGGTATATATCCGCGAAACGTAAACGAGCGCAGCTTCGATTTGTATTAATATTATATTTCTATTTATCTATTTCTTTTTTTAATGAAAAACTCGCGTCATACTTGTCCATTGTCCGATCAACCAGCACACACGTCTCCTGATAATTCTATAATTGTTATTTCGTATTTTTAGTTCCTCCTTCAGAGTCGTCGAGAACCACTGATCAAAGTTCACCTGTTGCATTAAAAAATAAAATAGATTAGCTGGATCAATTAAAACGCAGGATTCTCGAAGTTATTCGCTTACCTCGTCGTACAGGTCGAACGCGGCCAGACCGACCGCGCGATAAACGGCGTCTTTCACCAAGATCGCGTGCAAATTATTAGGATCGACAGGTTGATGATGTTGTCGCATCAGATCAACCAGAACCGACGAGAGAACGTCTCTAAAGTTATGGAATATCGTCATGAACGCGCACTCGGTACATGGCTGCAACACACATTCGAATGAACAATAACTCACGACACATTCACGTAACAATGACGTGACCATTCATTAATTTATGTAACTTACGGTTCAGATATATTTTCACTCACCCTCAAACTGTACTTCCACGATTCCCCGCCACCATCATCGATAGCTGCAATAGCTTAAGTATTATTTTTTGTAAATGTTTCACTAATTAAGGCTCCGGAGTAATCGCTGTCTATTATTGTCCTTGTTCAATGACGCCAGAAGCAAAAAATGCATGCCAAAATTTTCTGTTATATTTTCAAATAAAAAAATATATCCGCAAAATGACACTTGTGATCAATTCAGCACACTTGCAAAATTGGACGAACACTTTTCATTTACTCGAATAATCGATAAATAGCCGCAAAATTAATTTGACATGGAACCTTCTTTTCCAACCTCTTTTCTCACGATCTTGTCAATTAATTAGTTAATTTAGAGTTAATTTTACGACTTATTAATTGTTTGAGTAAAAATATATATTACAATTTTACAAGTTTGCTGAATCGAGCACAAACGTCATGTGGATATATTTTTTATTCTCTTAACACATTGCGGACGGATGACGAGATATCTCGTATATTGCGTCGTTAGAGGCGAAAACATACCCAGCTACTGGGTACGGTTAGCTATAAAATGTCTGGTTCGCAATGTGTTAAAAATATAACGCAAAAATTTGAGCATGTAATTTCTCGCTTCTGATGTCATTAAACAAGGACAGTCGCAGCGATTTCGGAGCCTTAATTATTATTTAATTTAACTTTATGATTTATAGTACTAATAATGGTAATAGTACTAATTTATGCAAATAATATGAACTATGTTTACAGGGCAACCTGCAATTAGGTTTAGTAACGTGTTCCCTGTAATTTACGTTTACACGAACAATATGAAAGATATTTAATAATTTGTTGTGACTACAGATGTTACATGTCGTACAGTTATAAATAGTTATAGTTATTGTTATTATACTATGTGGTATGTAATACTAGTAATTTGAAAATTATGACGTAAACTACAGGTGTTGACACAGTAGTCAAGTAGTCTTAGACTACTGTATAAACGTTGTTACAGTTACGCTGATACTCACCGAAATTTTCCGGCTCGGCATCCCATAATTCTAAGTCCGTGGGTGTTAAAAGGAAATAATGCGTGACAAGCCTGGAGCAAATCTCCTTCAATGTGTCCGGTGTGAAAAATTCCTCTTTTAATTGGTTCGCTCTTAACGTTATCGGATTCTTTGTCTCTGTTTCGATGAAAAAAAGACGACATTCCATTTTAATGCAAACTTTACGTGAACAAGTGAGCAAGAATTACATACAGACGTATACACATGTATTAGTTACTCACCTTCGGTAATCTTGGTTGGTCTATAGTACGTCGTCGTTAAAATAATCTTCACTAGATTTAGACATTGGATAACGAATTTTTCAAATGCTAACGCCTGGCCGGCCTCCGTGAAGCAGTAAAAAACGGAGAATTCTAAGGTAGTCGGTATAAGTTCCACGTAGCAATTCGGGTACGTCTCTAGTACTCCCATTAAAACTTTGGTCAAATGTATTATAAACTTCTCGCATGTGTCCGTCTGTATGCCTCTAGACTCTAACGTTTTCCCTGAAAACAAATGCCACACATCGTTCACTTACGACGCATCCATGGACACGCGTTGAAACTTTAAGCGAGAGCGTTATCGCACGTTACGCGCACGAAGCAACCGTCTCTCTCTCTCTCTCTCTCTCTAGAATAAAAGAGGAAGAAGTACTAACGGCACTCGAGAGTGGCCTTCGCACGCTCGAAAATAATGTTCAAAAATAACATGGCATCCTGAGATTCGGAAGGCTTGGTGAAACCGTGTACGGTCAGCTTCCTGAGTATTTTCAGCAACAGCAGAGCTTTCTCCAGGGCTTCCTCGATCTCTCTTATGTCGGCTCCGTTCGATGCGAGTATCAGGAAGGACTCGGTGAAGGTGTTCCACATGGTCAAGATGAAGTTGAACGTGCTCCCAGCTAATTCGCGAAAGACCTTTTGCGCCTCCGTCAGACGTTTGGATGCTAAACCCTTAACGACGTGAAGCAACGTTAGCAACGCCTGGCGCTGTGTCACAGAGCCCTCCCGCCTTATGACCTCTAACAATGTCGGTATTAATGTACCCCATTCTCTGGGATAGTCAAGCCTGTAAAACAATGAGATTAGTATGTCGCTTTTGATAATGATATATATTGGTGCAGTGTCGTGTCAATAGGGATTACCTTCCTATCTTTGCAATAAGAACAGCTAATTGTACAGCTAATGGATTCATAGGTTCCGCTATTGTCAGCAGATGTTGCCGTAAAAATTCCTTCTCATCGGGCCGAATTGCGCTGGAATAGCAACATATACGTTAACTAGACATTGTCGGTAACATACTGCTTAAGAATGATCCGTCATTTGACAGGGAATTTCTTACTTTGGGGCATTTACCCTCCAGTACTTTTCAACTCCAATTTTTAGATACACTATAGCCATCCATCTAACTTCGATACCCAAGGAATGATTCGATAGAACATTCTGAAAGTAGGTTTAAAGCAAGGAGTTATCTCTTTCAGGAAAGGAAGGCATCAAAGAATACATATAATATAAGAGAATTTCAAATAAGATACTATATGATATTTATCTTGCATCAAAGTATGTTCTCACTTCACAGACCCATGTTACATTCCATAGATAAAGTACGTACATGGGAGACATCGCTAAAAAAAACTTATATCTGTGATAAGTCTCCTTCCTAACAAGACAAAACTTACATATAATGCTATGTAAAACCCTTGTTGAGTCTCCCATTGTTTGAGAGTTTGCTCTGCCGATTTTAGGATATTAGGGTCTTGGCTGACCGCCTGTTGCAGAACTTCTATCACCCTGGCATCCATGTCTTCCTGCTGAATAAGGAGAATATGTGTGTATATGCGTACGCGTGTGTGTATATTTTACAAAACTCTTCCTACTTAAGAATTATGTTACTCAAAAACTTATCGGATTCCGACACGTAATAGCGCTCAATTTTTATTCCACTGATACTCCCGTAATTACGTCAGCGTTATTTAGCGCTGGCAAAACACGGTTATATCATCCAGACGGGAAATTCATCGTTTCGTACGGAGCAGTAAAAACACACTCGAAAGCCGACTGCGAGTTCCGGCGTAATTCGCGAGGGAACTCGCTCGGTCAAGATCGAGCATGTGGCCGCTGAACGAGCCAGCTCCGTCTCAGACTCGCGAAACGTGCGCGACGCCAGCGGATCTCGCGTTGCATTAGCACGAACGTTGTGCGTGACAAAGAGAGCAGCTATGCGAAACGATCATCGGTTCACGTCATTCTTCGTCGCGCGACGAATCATTTATCGTCGCACGCACCGTTCCGGTGTAACGGGGTGCCCTCTAACCTGTACAACCTGCGCTGGTGCGAGAGCAGGAGAGCGTACGCGACAAAGAGCGAGCCGTATGCGCGCACGAGTCTCCTTACCTGTCTCGCAATCGGTGCCGCAGACTTTCATTCCGTGTGTCCCATTTGTCTCGCGAGGACAAGGAGAGTATTTACGTAGTAAATCGATACATAACGAAAATCCTCCGGCTGGTCCTAGTCTGCTCCCCGCAGTCCCGCTGTGTGTCACACACACATACACACGCACACACGCGCGCCTGCTACGCGAGAGAGTGTTGGCACCTATGGAAGCGCACCGTTCTTCTCCCCTTCTCGTCTTCTCGCCCTCCTCGGGCACCGCTCCGTCTCTCTTTCCGCGTTTTCTTTCTTTCCCTCGGCTCTCACCGCACACCTTTTTCCGTCTCTTCCTCTCTCGTCCCGCAACAGAGTACTGCGTTAACGTTAGTAACAATTGTCGCTGATTATCGCGCGCAGCACGGTGCGCCGCGACGAAATTACAGGTCCGTTCTTTGTGGTTGCGCGTTTTTGAACCGCTCGCACCGCTCGGATCTTTCCGCCTTCCTTCGCGCATCGGGCTAATGTTTCACGGTGGTAGGTGTCGTTACGAGTTGCTTTATTTTTGTGTTGGTAGATGCAGTTCGAAGGCACTAGAATGTTGGTAAATTTTCAATAGTTTCTAGTAACTTGTATTCACGGCCAATACTTTCAAATGGAGCGCCCCGTTTGAACACGTTATAATTCACCAATCGCAGCCGACCGTTATCTAGGGATTTTCTGGTGCCAATCGGTTCAGTCCGTTTTTTGAAGATGCCTATTATCGTCTTTGATAAACTGCGTTTGGCATTGTAAATCGGTGACATCGATTTATTCTTAAGATTATCTTTAGATAATATCTAACCAGCCCGGAGAAACAGACGTCTTCCACACTCGCTCGTGCGTGCGTGCGTGCATGCATGCATACGTACATACGTACGTGAGGAAGCTCTCGTCTTCATGCGACACGTATACAAACGCGAGAGATCGCTCGTTCTCGCCAGCGTAGCAGCCGCGCGCACGAAAGCCGCCGTCGAGAGGAGATCTCGAGAGCGTGCGTCGCATGTTTGAGTCGAGACATCTGCACGTACACCACCGTTCGGACCTCATTTGCATGGTAAGCGAGCCGAGAGGGTGCGTAGTTTAGGGACGGATCCTCCTCGTCCCGCAACCTCGCGCAATTGCGCGCGCGCGCGCGCAACCAAGGAGCTGCGATCGGAGACTCGACGCTCTCGGTCGATCGTCATCGACGGTCCGCCAGCCGGCGACTTTGAGATCTCCCGCGCGTGCTTTAAGGCGCACCCTCAAGCCGCTCGGAAGTATGGCACAAAGCGACGTCTTCGCCTCGGACGGGTCAGGTGACTCGGCAGACTCGGTCGGGCATCGCCGAGTGGAGACGATCGTTCTTGGAGGTTAGGACGCCTCAGGGCCGATACGCTCCCGAGCCACCTTGGCGATTTTGCCCGTCGCGCGCGGCCTCTTGCTCTCGTGCATCGCGCCGCGCTCGAGAAATCGGCCCAACGGAGGAGACCAACGACACCGCGACACGATCGCGGACACTGATGACGTCGAGGGTAGTGCGTTACGCCGCAGCCGCTACACGTACGACTCTGACGTAGTCGGGAAGTGTCCGGAGTCCCCCCCGCAGGTCCGAGAGGTAGATGTTCGTCGAAGACAACGATAGTAGCAAACTCCACTGCCGATGTATATCTCGCGTCTCTTCGTCTCGTATCGAGATGCCTGCGCGAGCCGTGACATTGACACGGCTCAACCGTGTCTGATGCTCTAGTTTCGTCAACTCCGTGTATCTCTCTCTTTCTCTCTCTTTTTCTCTCCCTCCCGTTGCGCGTCCCGATGTCGACGATCTCTCGCGTCGCGAACGCGTCGCAGATCGATTGTTTTCGCGCCTCTCTTCGGTGCCGTTCGTAATGTATTCTCGCGTATGACATAAACAGGTTATATACCTGTCATATGATGCATATATATATATGTGTGTGTATATATATATATATACATATATATGTGTCCAGCGTACGTACGACTCTGTTAGTATCAAAATCAACTTTTTTTTCATATGTTCTATAAATATATAATTAGTGATATCTATTCGCTACGTTCCACACGACATACCATATGTACTAATTACAAATGTTAAACGCCGAGGAGAATACATGATTACATAGGTCGGATAAATATCCGTCGAAGTATTTATCCGTCGAAGTTGCGAGCAATTTCTTAGTTAATCGCCCGTTGAAACGTCCACGTCGTGAACGTGTTGCGAACTGACCTTGTGGAGAATAACGAGAACTGTCTGTTTCTTTCTGGGTGCGTTGCGCAAGGTGCATACATTATAAGAAAACATGCCTCTGTTCGGCAAGTCCCAGAAGAGTCCGGCGGAAGTGGTGAAGGCTCTGAAGGAGGCGGTAAACGCGTTGGAGCGCGGCGACAAGAAGGTAGAGAAGGTACGTTGTTGTGGATACGCGTCGGTTTCTACGATGAAATACATCCCGTTTTAGGCGCAAGAGGACGTCAGCAAGAATCTGGTGCACATTAAAAACATGCTGTACGGCACGGCCGAGACGGAGCCGCAGGCGGACATCGTGGTGGCACAGTTAGCGCAGGAGTTGTACAACAGTAACCTGTTACTTCTGCTTGTGCAAAACCTGAGTCGTATCGACTTTGAGGTACGCGCCTGTCTCACGTATATCCTAGACTGTTCGACCAGACATTCCGCCAATGACATATCTTAGCATGTCCGAGGAATGCAATGTTACACAGTAACAAAACTTTGCGTTGAATTTAACACATTCCACATGACAAATATGTCCAATTTTTGTGTTAACACTTATATGAATATTGTGATATAAATGCAAATGTTAAGTTAACACACGGATATTTTAAAGATATAACAGAAGAATTTCAATAAGAACAGATTTTGGCACAAATATTAAATGTTTTTTTTTTTACTATGTAGTGATCAGTATATTCGTTAGAATGTAAACAATAAAATTCTCATCTGGTAGTTTAGAAAAGTTCTATTTTCGAAGAGTTTACTTTCGCGTCTTCGAGAATGTATCGATCGCCAAGTTATTACAAGTTTTGCTCTTTTGTTTCCGATCAAGGGCAAGAAGGATGTCGCGCAGGTTTTCAACAACATTCTACGGAGGCAAATCGGGACTAGATCACCCACAGTAGAGTACATATGCACCAAACCTGAAATTCTCTTCACGCTTATGTCTGGGTGAGTCTACTCTTCGCATTCTCTTTACCCTCTTAATATCAACAGAACCAGCTGATAAAATTGTACGCCTGTTAATGCTCACGGATGCTTCGTTTTGCAGTTACGAACACCAAGACATCGCGCTCAATTGTGGCACTATGTTACGGGAGTGTGCGAGATACGAGGCATTGGCTAAGATTATGATTTATTCGGACGATTTCTACAATTTCTTCAGATACGTTGAAGTTTCTACGTTCGATATCGCATCCGACGCTTTCTCCACGTTCAAAGTACGTCCTGCTCTATCTGCAAAACGAGAAGCATAAGAAGTCATTCGAGTTTCTTGCCATTACGAACACGTTTACGACAACGTTTTTCACAACAGTAATAGTGTTCTCGATAAAAATCCTGTTAAATATTCCCGATTGAACATTTCTTATAACGCATTAATGTCGCTTGATACTCTACCCGGTATGTATAATTCAATCCCGTCACTGTGTTCTTCCTCAGGAATTACTTACGAGGCACAAAATACTCAGCGCCGAATTCTTAGAGATAAATTACGATAAAGTTTTCTCACACTATCAGAGGTTACTCAATTCGGAAAACTATGTAACACGACGACAGAGTTTAAAGCTGCTGGGTGAACTGCTGCTCGACAGACACAATTTTACTGTAAGTATCCGGCGGCACGGACAGTGTCGTGATTGTCCCCGCAGTTTCACGCTAGGCAGAAAGATACATCTAAACATTTTTCTTCTTATAAAGTACAGGAAAATATGTTTTGACGTTTTATGCCTTTTATAATATAGATAATTTATTACACAATATTAACACGTAAAAGGTTCTAAAAAGAGAAACGATCATTTATATATAAAGCTTGAAAAATCCTACATAGGTATAATCTACTAATGTTGGTCGTATAGACCATCATTAGATATGTACTTACATTAAGCTAAGTTGGTAAAATGGTTGAATGGGATTGCTTAATTTGTCGACAATTAAAAGAACAATCGAATGATACAAGCAATAGCATAGTAGTAGTAGTAAGCTATCTTTGACAGCATTCAATCACAATGAGAAGATATCGGAGAACACTTTTATATAAATATATGTGTGCGCGCGCGGTCACGCTATCGGAAGTAATGTTTACGCAGGAAATGTTTTTTCCAGGTCATGACACGATATATATCGAATCCAGATAACTTAAAACTGATGATGAACATGCTGAAGGAGAAGTCTCGCAATATACAATTCGAGGCTTTCCACGTTTTCAAGGTATACTTTGCACTCGAAGAATGTTTATGGTGCACTCGATACGATCCATGCAATTCAAAAGTTCTTGTTGCTTATAAAATTTGAAATACATATTTTACATTAGATATAAAATAACGTACTTGTAATCACGTATTTATGTGAAAAATTAGACGTATATGTGTGTGCGCAAGCGCATATATATATATGGCTTTGCTGCAGATTAATTTGAACCCTTTGCCAATTTCTTAACCCTTTGCACTCGAGGACTCTGGAGCGGAGCCATTTAAAATTTGTCTTCAAACTCTTCAAACTCAAATGCAAATAGCAAGAGCGGAATATCCTGTACACAATAGTTTTTACGATTTGTCTTTGTCCTTATGTTATGAATTGAAAGTTATTTGCATTGTCTCCATAGCGGAGCCCTCGAGTTTGAAGACACATTTTAAATGGCTCCGCTCCGGAGCCCTCGAGTGCAAAGAGTTAATATTCGGTATCGCGATACGTGACCTCTTCTTCTTCGGTCCCTGTAATTAGATCCCGGTAGATAGGAGAGAAACGATCCATCTCAAGTATAGAGAGTTAACGGACAGTTCTTCTTTCGGTTGTGCGTTTCAGGTATTTGTCGCGAATCCGAACAAACCGAAACCCATCCTGGACATATTGCTCCGCAATCAGGAAAAGCTGATAGAGTTCCTGACGCGCTTCCATACGGACCGTTCCGAGGACGAGCAGTTCAACGATGAGAAGGCGTATCTGATTAAACAGATCAAAGAACTTAAGTCTGTACATGATAATTAAGTCAAAGAAAATACAATTATTGCTACCGCTATGACTAACTACCACTATAATTATTATTACTATCGAGTCTACTTGCTGCTGTTGCTATAGTTGCGGTTTTATTACTATTACACAGTTATAATTTATCGTCATCGCTCTCTTTCTCTCTCTTTCTCATAGTTATTACTATCACTATCGTTGTCGTCATCATCATTCTCATCATTTCATCATCATTATTATTATTATATTATTATTAATTTTATTTGCGAGTAGCATTGTAAATAAAGATTAAATTTATCTTTTATTGTATCATACGCACACGAATCAAGTTGTCATCGTTGTCAGTGTTCTGCCACGTTTTTAGGAATGAGTCGGTTATTAAAGCAGAATGAAAATCTAACCGTTTTGACTTTTTTGCGGCTTCTGCCGCAAGATCGCCAGTTTTTTCATTTGCATCTTTCGGCGGGTGTTTTGAAATGGTATCGAACGGACAATCTGGGAAGCGTGAGAGTTCGGGGGAGGCAAACATTTTCTAACGTTTACCGTTTATGGAAATTATTCACTAACCTTATAAATTAATAACATGTATTGGTCCTATTAATAATAGCTAATATGGCGGCATTCATATTGGTGAACTGGAGCGTGCTGCTTTTGTCGGGCTCGCAGCTGGAATATAGTTTCTCGAGTTTCTTTGATTTCTGAAGTTTAGATATTGCCGTAGCCTTCGAGACTTTTTGTTGAATGTTTTTCAGCAGCCAGTTTATATCCAAACGCGCCATCATAGCCTGCAAGTCGGAAATAACGACAGAGAATAAGATATTAAAGACCCTAAATACACGTGTACGCACGTATGATCGTTCAAACACTTTCAAATATTAAAAATTATCAAGAATTAAAGAATCGATCTCGGTAGAGATGCATTTCTGGAACTATAAAATCTAAGGATATAAAAATCCATAGTATATACTATAAAGAGCCTAAGAGAGAATTCTGTAAATATCCGTTCAATTGGCCACAGAACACACCTTCGAGTAGTCTTCGTCTTGGCAAAGGCGCCATATTAGAGTGGCACAGTGTAAGAATACCTCCTTGTCTTTCAATGCATCGCTCAGGAGCTTCACTAACAACAACGCATACTCTTGCTGCAATCAATGGAAAAGTTCCTCTTAGTTTCTTTTGTTTTCAGACAGTGGAGTGAATTAGAGACGAAGAAAAGTATAGATCTCATCGGTACCCCCCTCCCCCCGTGAACTCACCTTGACAATATATTTCCTCGTGTAGGGATATTTCGCAAGGGTGATGAGGATGCTGCACGCCCGCTGGCAGACGATCATCCACGGTTGCGACCTGTTGCGCTGACTTATCGTCTTGTAAATTTCGTCGACCAGATTCAGCTGGCAGAGGGTCACGCAAATCGTAGGTGACAATTTCGTTATGGTATCTGTGCGCATTGAAATAAGTATTTTATTCACACTATCCGATCCTATTTGGACTGCTCAAAAATTCCCTTGAATAACGGAATACCACGTGACTCTGGCATTCCCAATGACGTCGACATTTATCCGAGTTGCAACAAAGTAAATACATTATTACCGGATTTAAATATAAATTATAAATGCATAACTTCGGCACCGTATCGTTCGCAGATTCATATTCATTTTTTAACTGTAAACTGTCAATTTGATAATAAGGAACTCGTTTACTTTAATTAACTTATTTTACTATACTTTAAACTTCATCGGCATTTTTCTTCGCGTTTCTCGGAAAATAAATGACGACGTCACTAAGACCCGTATTAATAGTAGTTACTTGAAACCTGTCCCCATGTGAAATATTCAGTTTCGTATTAATAGTCGTTACTCGAAGCTCATCTCGGATGAGATATTCCGATTTCAATTTAGAATTATTCGGTGATCAGATTTTTCAGTTGAACCGTTATCATAAATGTCACATATATCATATCATTCAACTGAAAAATTCAGATCTGAGTATCTCACGCGAGGTAAGCTTCAAGTAACAACTGTAAAATCTTCGAGAAAAATCATTTTAAAAAATCACTTTTCTTATGTACCATAAACCCATCATCATGATTATGATGATTAGGTATATAGTGAATCATATACAGATATAATGGCCACACTCAACAGAATGTTTATTTTGCAACTGTTGGAAATTTTTCGAGCTGAGATTGGATTATTCTTTTAGCTCTGGAAGAATTAAATCTCGCCGTGAAAAACTCCCAACAATCGTGCGATAAACGTTCTACTGAATGCGACCGATGTCTGACCACCGTGATTACGATGATCGGGGGGCCTTAAAGGGTTATTGCCTGCTCGTTAAACAATGACGCGACATTCACCTAGGCTGCTGAGGCAAGTGAGCAACGCCCCGACATTATTGCAATTACGCAGAATGTCGATCGTCTGTTGCCAATAATTGCTGTTCGGGAGTACGTGGCTGCTGTCGGCCACCTCTTGATCCGCCCGACTACCTTCGCACTCCTTCTGAATATCCAATATGAGCAAGGCGAGGTCTTCCCGTTGCGCCAGCGACTCCGCCTTGATCCTCTGTCGCCTGTAACGACGCCAATACGCCTGAATCGTCAGCGCGGCGCGCTTCACGTCGTCGAAACGTCTGACCGCGAGCCGCATCCTGTAATACGATTGAATAACTATCGCGGCCCGCCGGTAACGGAGGAACCGTTTCCTCGCCACGAAGGTTCTCCACCGGGTTTGCACGACGACCACGCGCGCCCAGGTGACCTCGAACTTTCTCCTCGCGAGACGACCGGCCAAGACCGCGCGCCACCTCCTCTGCAGGATAATCGTGCAACTTCTGAGTCGTTCATAGCACCTCCTAACTTGGACCATTCGGCAGAAGGATTGCAGGACGACACATGCCGCCTTCTTCTCCAGAAATCTCTGGCGATCCCGACGTGCCTCGGCGCGTAAACGCCATCGAGTTTGAAGGACAACAGCACTCCGGCGAAGCTGTTGGTACCTTCTGCGTTCTTCACACGCTCGCAACATCGCGCGCCGCCTCCTCTGCAAGATAATCGTGCAACTTCTAAGTCGTTCATAGCACCTTCTAACTTGAATCATTCGCCAGAAAGATTGCAGGACGACACACGCCGCCCTCTTCTCCAGAAACCTCTGGCGATCCCTACGTGCCTCGGCGCGTAGACGCCATCGAGTCTGCAGGACAACGGCGCTCTGACGAAGCTGCTGGTACCTTCTGCGTTCTTCACGTGCTCGCAACATCGCGTGCCACCTCTTCTGCAGGATAATCGTGCAACTTCTGAGTCGTTCATAGCGCCTTCTAACTTGAACCATTCGCCAGAAAGATTGCAGGACGACACACGCCGCCCTCTTCTCCAGAAACCTCTGGCGATCCCTACGTGCCTCGGCGCGTAGACGCCATCGAGTCTGCAGGACAACGGCGCTCTGACGAAGCTGCTGGTACCTTCTGCGTTCTTCGCGTGCTCGCAATACCGCGCGCCACCAGGTCTGCACTCTCATCGCCGCGTGTCTCGTCCGCAGGTAGTCCTCCCGAGCGGCCTTGCCGGCCTTGACGCGAAGGTACCAGGATTCTATCAGCGACACCGCTCGCCGCTGCACCAGAAACCACTGCCGTTCCCGCCACCATCGTTGCAGCTTCACGCAGGAGGCCCTCTGCAGCCGATACCTGCGCGAACTCGACGCCGCCCTCCACCACGTCTGTATGCTCAGGCAGGCGTCTCGCCTCCGCCGTTCCCGCGCTTGGTACGCCCTCCATGTTTTCTGGATAAGGAGCGTGTTTCTCCGGCAGCGGAGGAACCATTGTCGTCTCTCTCGTGTGAGTCTGCTGGATCGCCACCAGCGCTGTATCCGCGCCACAGCGTACTCGCGTACCCGGAGCAGCTCGGCGCGCCGCAGCTCCGCCGCTCGCTTCGTTCTCCAGCGCGTCTGGATCATCAATGCGGCTTTCTTCAGGTCCCGATAGCGTTCCCTTTGCGATCTCATCAGCAACGTGGCTCGCCACTTCCTTTGCAACGCCAACACCGCTCTCCGGCGTTTGTCCTCCGACTCGCGCCGATTCTTCACGAGTTCGCTTTCTCGCGCCCGTCTCCACCATCGCTGCAGGCACGTCGCGGCCTCCTTGGCGCGCAGGAAGCTTGCATGTTCCTCGGTGACCTTCGTCTTCCAGTGCCGCAGCCTCCAAGTGCGTTGAATCACGGTCGCCGCGTGATCCCGGCGTACCAGCAGGTAGTTCCTCACGCGAACGTACCACACTCGCGACCGCCACCATCTCTGGATCGCGCGGGCCGCCCGGTCGAGCCGCGGCGCTTGGATCTTGTGGACGATCTGCCACAGGAGCGACAAGGTCTTCGTACGATCGCCGTAGGCGATGTCCTTGGGCTCGACGTCGTCCGCCAGGACGCCGTCGGCCCGGTGCAGCGCGTCCAACGCCACCTCCACGTTGTGCACCTTCTGCAGGCGCGAGATCGCTGGTGCTCTGCACTGCCGGGTGAGCCCGTCCGCACCGGTGATCAGCTCGACGAGGCGACATAGCCGCACACCGTCGCGCAGGTCTTGCCGTATGTCCGTCACCTCGTACTCGTACTCGTCGATGTAAGTCTGCCGGTGCGCCAGCACGTAGTCGTAGCTGCGCAGGACCTTCGTCACGTCGCCGACTCCGGCGAGAATGTCGCGCGAGAATCGCAGCAGGATCTCGCGGCTCGTCTTCCACGCGGCCTGCTTGCGGAATAGGCACGGGTCGTGGCCGATCAGTTTGTGCTGCTTCGCGTAATCCAGGAAGTATACCAGGAGGAGGAACTTCTTCAGCATGAACTGGTTGAGCGCCTTGAGGAACTTCTTGTTAGGGTCGGCCCGGTGGTAGCCCGGGGTTTTCGTCAGCTGCGGGTTCGTGAAGAAGCGTTCCGTGATGAAGCGAGTCAGGCCAAACAGGTCGTTGTTGTTGCGCAGGGGGATGTTCTCGTTGTACACGGCCTCCAAGCCGATGCGCAGCCACAGCGGGTTGTAGCACAGGAATACGTTCAGCACGTCCTTCTGCAGGCCTATCGCACGTTAGACATTTCGTTATGCGCATCGGAGAGCCAATGACTTAACTTGGTACGTATAAAATACATCTATATAGGATGAACGGTAGCTAATCGAAAAGAAAGAGAATCTTGGATATCTAGCGGAAGAATTATAAAAGGACAATGAGTAAAATGAGTCGATTTTGATGGAGTGGCAAGTAAAAACGGTATATTTTTTTTTGTACTTTTTGAGCTGCTGAACTAGATTCTGATTTGTAAACAATTTTACTTTGTCGGGAAATCATTAAAATCAGTCTATGAAACTATTGGACATTTAGTACTATAAATTATTATTATTGAGCTTTACGAACGTATTCATTATGTTTTCCTACGAGTAAAACATGATTTTATCATGTGAAAGTTTTCTTTCAGAATGACGTTGCTGGTAGTGAGTGATTCTGAGCAAAAACAATTATTCTATTATTTTCTCATTGTCTCTTCTTCCTTATATATATTCTTCCACGTATAATATATATACATCCGTCCATTAAAATTACCTTACTTGTATTGTACTATGTAATATCTAATTAATATGTTATTGCCAAGTCGAGAAATAATGTGTTTCTTATAACTTGCAACATTGTTACGATTTTTCTAATAACGACCCGGCAATAGCGATATTTTTCTTCGTTAATTAACGAGCGCATGTGGAGGACATGGTTCGACTCACTGAGATCCCGATGTAAATCACGATCCGATCTGAGGTACAGCATCCCCTCGGTGACGCACCTGTCGACGCGCGACTTCACTTCCGCGATATCGGCCCGATGGAGCATGGCGTACGCATCCTTCCGCAACGCATCCAGCTTTCTAGTAGTTTGATAACTGAAAATGATTTTTACTCGCTGAATTAATCAATCTCGATTGCGAACCTGGAATTGGAGTATATCCGTGTGACTCCAGCGCGGATTTGTTTTCTCTTCCGCATATATCGTTAACGCGACATGCACACCTGGTGGATGTGGTTGCAGCTGGCGCATTAACGTCTATCCCTTCGTTCTTCCGAGATTGCCACTTGTCGATGGTGTCTGTGATCATGTTGTCGATGTTGACACGCAAGTCCTTCGGCGTGGACAGCACAGTATTCAGCCACAGTGTGAATACCAATTCCTGCCGAGACAGCCACTTCTCGGTAAAAACGTTCGCCATGCTGTTACAACAGATTAACGAGATTAACGATGTTACTTGCGTGTCGAAAAATTATACAAGAAACTAAGGAAAAAACAAAGATGTAGTATACAAAGTGACTTAATTAGACTATAAATCATACTTAAAATTCCTAATATGTTAGTGTGAAGTTGGTATAAAATTAGTGTAGAGAGATGGAGTAAAGTTAGTTAATAAAATAGATTATAACTCAATTTACTTCTTGAGGAAAGGGTTTTCCGTCATGGACGACGTGAAGGGGCTCGGCCTGAACACTTCATAGATGGAGATCTCCTCAGTGTGTGGTCTCGCTTCCCGGATGGTCGAGAGAGTGCATTTCTTCATTTCACGCAAGGTGCAGAGAGTCGTCCTGGTGATCTTGATGGCCGGCACATTCTTCTTCGTACTCTTTTTCGCTGTCGTAGCACACACGTTATAAACTAAATGTTCCAACCAAAATTGTAAGGTATAAACAATTTGTCTTGCAAAATGATAACTCACCTGCAACAGGTACAAACATCTGGTGCCCCTTCGCGCTTCTGCCATTGCACAGCTTCTTCTCCTTCGTGACCCTGCCAGTCCACGTATTGAACGGAGACGCGCACAGCTTTGGGTGGTATTTCCTCGGCGGGGAGATCTCAATGTACACATCTCCCCCCGTTTCTTCAGCGTTCTCATCGTTCTCGAGAATGGTCGCGCAGTTGAAGTAATCGCGATCGACTCGACCGCTGCAATCTATACTGTCTACGAAATACTCGGAACGTTCAGTCCTTGACACATCGTTGCGTGCTCGCTGGAGAATCGGCGATGACGCGATCAAGCTATTCACGTCATGTTTGAAGGACAACTCGCAATATTCCAGCGGCCGCGGTACTGGTGACAAGACGATCTCCGGGATAGAAATCGCGGATATCTCGAAAGGCCGATGATCAACGTTGAAGGTCTTGTTCCTCTCTTCGTGAGCACCTTCGTGAGCATCCTCGACGTTCAGCGAGCACCTTCGACGTTCAGTGAATCCCGCCGACTCTTTCAAAAGCTTTGGGGAAACCGTGACTACGTCCGTAGTTGTTAATTTCAGCTCGTTTATCAGCATGGAGAAATTCGACTCGGTCCGATCTCGGACGCACGCCACATCCTCGGTTACCTCCTCGCTGCACTCGTATATCGTCGTAGTGCCGTTGTAGTGTTTCTTCTCCTTGACATACGTGGCCCTACGTATCTCCTGCGGCGCACTCGAAGGGAGAAGGGTCTGAGGCAACACGCTGCCGTCGCTCCACACGTTTGAGTGCTGCTCGGATAAAATACTCGTCGATTCGTGATAGCCATGATGACCGGGTCTCGCGCTCCTATTATTGTCTTGCGTGTAAATCTTCACTTCGTGATACTTCCTCAGGATGTTTTCCTTGTTCGAATTGTTCTGGCGTCTTAGATCGCCTCCTTTCATTTGTTTATTGACACTGATAAGCAAGGATTGACCGCTGTTGCTCGGAACACTCAATGACACATTGTCTTGGCAGAGTCTGTTGTTTACAGTTAACGGCACAGAAGGAACAGTTAGCTTTGATGTTGCTTTCTTCGACAGCTTTTTCTGCCCCCTTTCTTTGTTTATATTAGCAGTTGTTGCTATGGCAATGTCATATTTAATTCGTCTATTGTCAGTGAGTTGTAAAACGTCTCGCCAGCATCCTGCTTCTTTGGGAGACCATTTAATAGATATCGTACTACTGCTTTGGCCAGGAATTTCTAATTTATCTGTATTCAAAGTGATCTGACGTTTTGCATCTGGTACTTTTGTTATAATCACCTGAAAATCATTAATGTCATAATTATGTTAATACATAAAGCTAAATATGTAAAGCAACAAGTAAAATTCTCAACAGCAAAAAATTGTTCTAAGCAGTCGCTTGCATATGATAATACGAGTCTCTTACACAAAGCTATTAAATAGACACCTCATTTCAGAAATACATTTCTCTTACGTTTAGTATCTTGTCAGAAGGATTCTTGATATCCAAGTAACATTCCACAGTGGTGTTTAAATAAGCTTCCAGTTCAATCCTTACCATCGGTTGAAACGGTGCAAGTAATATTGTAAAACGCATTTGCTTGTCCACAGACTGAAATAACTCCATGCTGTACAATTTCCTAAAAAGCTGCAAATTGAGTATATATTTGTATATTGTTTAATTTGCTAAATATTTATTAAATACCATGACATGTGGAATATATTATTAGGAACTTATGTAAAGAAACAAAATAGTCACTAACTGATTCATTAATTAAATCTTGCATGTGTACTATTTTGGAATTTGTGAACAATTTTTTCTTTCTATCACTCGCAAGTAATAATAATAATGTAAAATACAAAATACCTTTCTGTACTATAACACAGATTTCACGTTGCACTTGTTTTTACAGCTTCTCAACTGGAATATCACACTTGCAGAGTTTTATCTTTAGATGAATAACTATCATCATATCCGTTGAAGTAACGAACTTTTCTCCCTTTGGTTCTTTAATTCGTTGATATCCGGCTTGAACTGAGGCACATCGCTCGTTTGTAACGAACTTCTTCAATTCAAATTGTCATATGTGAGAAATTCCTCGCGCACGCGCGAATGCTTCGGACAATTAGTCTGTTCTTTTTAGCTGAACTGCTGCACTTGTGCAATAAGTTAATGTGAGAATACATATACTTGTCTCGCTTCAACTTATTGTATTAGTTCAGCGGTGCAGCTAAAAAGAACAGGTCAAATATCTTTCAAAAGTTTTGCCGTTTCGAGTCCCTTTACAAGAGAAGGATTTTATTCTTCCGTTTTGACATCGCCTTCTTCGTTCCTCTGAACGATTGGTTAATTGCAATATCATCGTCAAAACGTGACCAATCGGTGCGATTGTGATGGATTGCAACTGGAATTCGATAAATTTATTAAGTTTGATATAATTCAGTTGAAAATTCAAATAATACTTGTAACATTAAACTTAAATAAAGCGATAAATAATTAATATCTAATAATTTACATCAGCAATCGCTTCTTGTTGGAACGACCACACGCCGATTGGCTGCTGCATAGTGATTTTCTAGAGTCCTTGAAGCGACTGATCGGCACTCCAAAAACTCTCTATCTGACAGCCAATCAATACGTCCGACAAACTTGCCATACGTTAGACGAAATAATCGTCTAACTTCATGTTTATCCTAAATCTAAATTGTGTTTGGTGTCGCCACTGCGAGTGAGTCAAGACGATCCTCGGGACGATCAAGAGTATCCCGCCAGCGCAGAGGCGAGTTGTGTTTCTGGTTGACTTAGTTTAGGTGGGATTCCGCACGTTCTTCCTCGTCAAATGCATCGATCACAACAATCACGACAGTGAGACACCGAGTGAGACGTTCAGACCCGACCGTGATCGGTAGTTCGTAAGTATCACACCTCCAACCCCTACGTATGTTCACCTCGCTCTTATTTCCGTTCCTTGTATATTTATCCAATAGCTACTTGACATTTTGTTCCCCCTGCTGCGCCAAAACTGCGAGAATTCGTTGACAGCTGCCTTTAATAGAGCTGCCCTTTTTGACAAGGAACCTCCACATCAGTCTTTCACCGGCACTGTACGATGGCCGATTCCAGTGACTTGGATCGGCAAATCGAGCAGCTGAAGAAGTGTGAGATCATCAAGGAAGCTGAGGTCAAGGCCTTGTGTGCCAAAGCACGAGAGATCCTTATTGAGGAAAGCAATGTTCAACGTGTCGACTCACCTGTCACAGTAATTATCTCTCTATTTCGCCTAAGTAGGAGGAATGGTTCTATCGCTAGTGATAGAATGTCAGAAACGTTTAAGGAATTGCAACTATGCGGCTTTTAGGTATGTGGGGACATTCATGGACAGTTTTACGATTTAAAGGAATTGTTCAAAGTAGGTGGTGATGTGCCAGAAACGAATTACCTTTTTATGGGAGATTTCGTGGACAGAGGCTTCTATAGTGTTGAAACATTTCTCCTCCTTCTTGCATTAAAGGTATGCCAGCTGAAACACTGTCATTAATAGAAACTTGAATATAAGAAATATATCGATTATATATTTTTGCTTTGTTGTCTTTATATTTAAATGAAAATTATTTGATTAGAAAACATCAAATTCGCTAATATAGTTTCTATGAGTTTTCTTTACATGACTACAATGTGACATTTTAGTACTAAGACCTTAATCTTGAAATATTTTTAAAAATCTTACTATATATAATGGATGATTCATGAGATCTAAGAAAATACGTGTATAAAGATATACTACTGTGATATATTCAGCTTTTGTTATCTTTTATATCCACTTAAAATATATATCTTATCACAGGTTCGTTATCCTGACAGAATCACACTGATAAGAGGGAATCATGAATCTCGACAAATAACACAAGTTTATGGTTTTTATGACGAGTGCTTACGCAAATATGGGAGTATAACAGTATGGCGATATTGCACGGAGATATTTGATTACCTGTCACTATCTGCTATCATTGATGGCAAGATATTCTGTGTTCATGGTGGATTATCGCCTAGTATTCAAACATTGGATCAAATCCGGACTATAGATAGGAAACAAGAAGTGAGTACATTATCTCTTGTTTATTACGATTTTTATTGAATAATTTTTACAGGGAGCTAATTCAGAAGTTTATTTAAAATTATAATTTTTATTAAAAAATAGATATACTTTTTTGTGTTGACATTTATAAACTTATAGATAAAAATTTATAGATAAGGTGTAATATATAAGATAGATACATCGATTAGATATATAAAATGTAAAGTTTTTTAATTTAATTGTTGGATCTCATGCCACATTTATCAAAATTGTAAGCTAGGCTAACATCTCTTTGCCTTTGATAGTAAATTTTCCTAATTTAATAATATAGGTTCCCCATGATGGGCCGATGTGTGATTTGTTATGGTCAGATCCTGAGGATACCCAAGGCTGGGGTGTGTCACCTCGTGGAGCAGGTTATCTTTTTGGTAGTGACGTTGTTGCACAATTTAATTCTGCGAACGATATCGACATGATATGCAGAGCTCACCAGCTAGTAATGGAAGGCTACAAGTGGCATTTTAACGAAACGGTGTTGACCGTTTGGTCCGCGCCGAATTATTGTTACAGGTATGTAACTTTTACAATTGTGATACGTCTCATTTTCTCTTTTTCTTTTTTTTTCCTAGTAAAGTTATTCCGCGTACATATTTTTGGCACATCATTATTTATCTTTTCAGCGATCTTGATGTAATTATCTTAATATATGCGTGTTATTTCTTTTCTTCTTTTCATACAGATGCGGTAATGTTGCCGCGATATTGGAGTTGAACGAACACTTGCAAAGAGACTTCACGATATTTGAAGCCGCGCCCCAAGAAAGTCGCGGAATTCCCAGCAAAAAGCCGCAAGCCGATTACTTTTTATAAACAAATCATTTTTAGAGTACAAAAAGAAACCATCGGCATCGAACCGACTCGGGGTTTCCATCTTCTGTTACTCTTCCCTGATCTATCTTGGTTCCGTTCTCCCCCCGAGCAGTTTGCGTCAATCATGAGAAATACTGAGCGGCTTGCTATTTTTTTTATGGCATTATAACATCCGTAATTGGATCGTTGATAATCGTATAATTATTTCGATAGGATCACGATGATATGTGTAAGGAACTGATGTAAAATAAAGTAAAACTTGCCTCTATTTAAAAGGATGTGGTACATCGTCGCACGAATATTGCCAAATTGATTGTACTTCAATTATGTCGAAGGTACTTTAAACATCAAGAAGAGAACTTGTGACTTTGTAAATAAATTCAATTAGATCTTTTATTTCATCTAAGGAATACTTCAGAAGACGGTTCGTACCTGCTTCGAAATTACGTTTCGTCGTAAATATATAATTTTCCGACTTGCATGAATTTTACAAGTTTAATTAAACGATAATATCAAATTTCTGCAAGTTGAAATTCTGAATTTAAGAAATTGGTTTCAGAAATATCAAAGAAAAAAAATGGTTCATTCTGTCCTCGAATACATTCGACATTCAGTGGAACGATTTGTATCCTAGAAGCAAAAATTCGGTCACCAACTGAAATCACCAGAGAACAAGTTCTCCCGATCGGAGGGACGGCCAATCGAATTCGACGACGATTACCGACATTCCCGCCCTCGATCGCCAATAGCGTGCCGCGGGCGAGCCGGCATCGACTTTAGGAACACGGCGGCGCGCGCGCAACCCCACCCATCGCCCCATGACAAATGCAACTTTTACTTCCGGCCTGCGTACACGGCCATCGCGCTTGATTTCGTAGGATCGTTCCGCTCGTTCTCCGCAGTGTCCGCGCATCGTTCCAGTGTTGTCGCAGCGTCATTCCTACGTCCTGCCAGACCATCGCCTGCGCTTCGCAGTTGTATACCATCCGAGAGATCTCTTTTGTTTGTCGTATGTCCATCCAGAATCTCAACACATTCGGTGAGTACGGGATAAGGCATTATCGAACTTTTACCCACCTACCTTTATCTCTCTTTATCTATCTCCTACCCTCCCTCCCTTCCTCGGAGCATCTCGTCTTCTTTCCTCCTTCTTAGCCGTTTATTTATCCCTTCGTTCTTCGTAAACGAGGACGACGACACGACACCGTTGTCTCGCGATCAAAATGGCGGCCCGAGCCGTCTTTCGCTCGCATGGCCCTCCTTGCGTAATTATACGCAACCCGACGACGACGATGATAGCATTTTGTTTTCCTCCCCGCAGACCCCTTTGCAGATGCAATCAAGGGTTCAGACGATGACGTCCAGGACGGCCTTGTGCATATAAGGATCCAGCAGCGGAATGGTCGCAAGACCTTAACAACGGTGCAAGGACTCTCCTCTGAATATGACTTGAAGAAAATCGTGAGAGCATGTAAAAAGGTGAGCATCTTTTCCCTATCGGTTCAGGAATTTCCGCCGATCCCTCCTCTCTTCTATCTGTCTTCTCTGTTGCTTCTTCCTTCTTTTCTTCTTCCTCATCCTCTTGCTCCCCTTCTTCCTTCTTTTTGCCCCTCCACCTGCTGTTCTACCTCCTCCTCCTCCCTTTTCCCTATCGTCTCCTACCATAAGCCAGTCAAGCAGAATTCTAAAAATAAGTCTGATGCAAACAACTATATGATACATGCAGTGAGCAGCTGTAGTTTTATGAGTCTTCTGCAAGTATAGTGTGAATGTATCTGCAAGTGGTTTGTCATAGGCTATACATCCTTTGTTTAAAATCCAGGTTATCACCAATGACTTAGCTCATTTTTATAGCTATACTGATCGCCTCAGAGTTGAATTCTAATCTTGATATTTAATATTCAGTATTGGGGTATTTTCATCATGTGACATACCTTGTACCTTGATGTCTTTTAATGTTATTTTTGTATATCTTATAAATTGAATAATGAAAAGCATTTTGCTATATACTCTAAAAAATATTTTTTGTACACTCTTTATTTTCATTTTTATTATTCTTGTGCATTTACCTTTGTATGATTATGATGAACTGTATCAATTATTGAAGAAAATATTTTTGCTATAAATTACAAGCTTATAAAGTTATGTTGATCGTTACTTGAATTATTTCAAAGACTTGTTATATACATATACATTGTTATTCTAACTAATGTTGTGTCACTTTTTTATTTAAATCATAATCTTAAAATTAAAGCTGTTTATAGACTTTATGTTAGTCATGGTTTTATTTTTTGTCAGCCAACCTAGGGCTTTGAGTGTAATTTTTTAAACATGTTTTAAACATTTCTAGAAAATAAAGATACTGATATTTTTTACGAATGAAATGAATCGTAAAAAAGATACGCTCGTCACTAAAATGTCTAGCATGATTTATCGAAACTTGTATCCACAGGAGTTTGCGTGCAATGGGACAGTAATAGAGCACCCGGAGTACGGGGAGGTGCTGCAGCTGCAGGGGGACCAGCGAGAGAATATATGCCAGTGGCTGACAAAATCAGGTCTGGCGAAACCCGACCAGCTGAAGGTTCATGGTTTTTAATCGACAAGCCAGCAACAATAGTCATCATCCATGCCACTACCTACAAGAACAACAACAGCAACAACAACAACAACGGACAGCTCCGCCCCATGTCAGCGCTTTATCATCCTCTCAAATTGAACCTATATATCAGTCACTAATTCCTCGTCGGACACTCCGATTATACTATTAAATATAAAAAAATATATATACAAATATATACATATATATATACATATAAGCGTGCATATATGTATATATGTATATTTATATATATATATACGCATATATTCCAATAAAAAAAGAAAACGAAAGGAAGACGCGTGCGAAACGGACAGAGAAAGAGAGGAAAATAAGTAGTAGGGGATAAAAGGATAAATAAATAAAAAAAGAGGGGAAAAAAGGAAGAAGAGATACAGCGAGAAAAGAGAAAGGATTATAAGCAAATCGACGCAGGCAATATATCACTAATTGGATCTTTTCTCGAGAAAAGCAATACGTCTCACACGTAACACGCGCAAATCGCGCACGTGCACGCGCACACACACATACACAAACACTCTGTAAGCCTTATGTTAGGTGTTAATAATTGCTGAGGTGGTTACCTCAGCAATAGCAGCGGTAGCAGCAACAACAGTAGCAGTAACAAGACACATCATTTTGATAATCATCATCGAGGAGGAGGCATAGACGAGCGAGCGGTAATTAGCAGCGCCGGATGGATGTTCGTTCTTGCGTTAGGTAGTATGTACCTGGACGCGATAGACGTGTTCCGAGAAGGCAGCAAGGCGTAACTATAGGTTCTCAATTGAATCCGGCTCTTTTTCTTTCTCTCTCTCTCTCTCTCCCGATCCTCTTCTTCCCTGTTCTCCTTACTTTCTCTTTCTGTCGCGCGCTCGCTTGCTCGCTCGCTCGTCCATTCTCTGCTCCTTTATAGTGATAACTATACGAAATCTCTGTTTTCGCTATATTGTTGATGTTTTTGTTGAAAAAAAAAAAAAAATCGTTTCGCGCCTCACTTTTGTTGATTTTTCTATTGTAGAGCGAATTTAAGACTTCGATAGAGAGAATCTCCTTCGTACACTTCTTCTTTCACCTATCCTCGGTGCCTCGTCTTTGCTCTTTCTTGCTTTTTCCCTTTTTAAAACAATAACATTGAATTGTTTTGAAGTAATAATGAGAGTTAATGGAAATGACTTCTAGATAAATAAATTAATTAATTAATACATGAATAAGGAAGGTTTTTCACTGAAAATCTGACCATGTTCTCTTCCTCTTTAATATCCTAAGCGAAGTTCAATTAATCTTACTGAATTTATCGGTAAAATAAGGGGAGTGTTTTAAAATTGATTTATCGACGATTGTGTATCGTAGATTATTCTTGCAACAATGAGGAATCAACTTTCAGTTTTTTTACTGGTACAAAAATAAGTTGTAATTTTTTTAATGTTTGTACGATATAAGACGGCAAGGAGAAAGTAACAATACAATCAAAGTCACGGAATCTGTAGATATATCGTAGCAGATATCTGCTACTGCAATGCTTACTCGTCAATGTACACGTGGTCGTCAAATGCAAGATGTACTTCATCGAGGAAAAAATCGTTAGATACGCTATCGCTGTTTATTGATTTCATTTGCTCGCTACGATTGTGTTTCGTGGAATTGCAATTACATCGAATTAATATAACGTGACGCTACACGATACACCAAAGCGAAAAATAAAATCTGAAACCTCGACTTTTGCGAAAGAGTGTTACTTTGTCACGTGTTCTGTGCGTATCTCAAAAGGAAGAGACTTTGCAATTCATTCGAGAAATGTAACAAGTATCTTATAGAGCGAGTAAAACGTCAAAATATTCTTTGAATAAATGAACACAGAGAGAGAGAGAGAGAGAAAGATACACACACAACACACATATATATATATATATATTATGTATACGCACGAAGTTTTCAGAAAAGCTAGCGCTCGGTGTTTATATAATCGACTCACTCGACAAAGAGAGCGGAATTATTTCTTTCTCACAAAAAATACACAAGGTCAATACAAGAAAAGATAAAGAACCTGAGTTTTTTAATGCTTTCAATTATTTCTTTTACTCTTCTTTCTCTCAAAATACAAACGGCACATCGATTCCCGTCAAATAAATCGATCGTTGGGGGACGAAGTTTCCAATCAAAAAGGGGCTACCGGAGAAGAAGACGGAAGGATCACGATTCGTATCGCTTTTCGCTGTGCCCTTTCGTCGAATATTCGGGAGAAGCTGAAATTTTTCTACGATTTCGTCGTTCAGCGTATTTTCCCCGAAGCCAGAATACGAAAGTGGCGCGCGGCGGCGCTCATGCTGCAGCCCGATACGGGGCGCTGCGATGAATGGATTGCACGGCGCACCACCGGATCCCAGAATGCACCGCGCGCCACGGCATGTGCCTTTCCGCGTCGGCCATTTTGTAGTTTCCTCGAGAGATTGTGTTGAGTTCGATTCTTCCACCTCGGTAAGAAAATCCCGTCGTGTGAAACGGCCGTGCGTCGATCCGCTCGGCGCGGTCGCTCGCATTACGCACGGGCGGATCGCTACGCGTACGTCGCGAATTCGTGCGAGGTATCGTGCAATCTCGCTGCCGCCTGTCGCAAGTCGTGCTGTGTCGCGTATTTCGTAGCACGCACGCGAACGTGTGCGTGCGAACGTGCGAGTTAACGAGTGAGTGAGCGAGCGAGCGATCGTACGAACGAAGGAACGAACGGGCGAACGGTCGCGTGAGCGACCAGCCCAGTGGCCAAGTCTAGCTGGTTGTCTGTCTGCCTCTCTACTTGCCTGTCTCTCTGCCTGCTTACCTGCCTGCCTGCCTACCACCTTTTTACCTACTTACCTAGCTATCCACGTACCTACCTAATTGTCTATCTTTCTGCCTGCCTACCGACCGACCTACCTGCCTGCCCAATTACCTACCTACCTACTTACCTACCTATCTCCCCTGCTTGCCTGCCTAACTCCTTGGTTGGCTGCTTGGTTAGTCGGTTGATGAGTTGGTCGGGGTTAGCTAGTTGGTAGGTTGGTTAGCTGGTTGAAAGTTTGGTTAGTTGACTAGCTGGCTGGGCTGGTAGGTCGGTTGATTGGTTGATCTAGTAGATTGGAGTTGGTTGGTTGGTTGGCTAACAGATTAGCCACGCTAGCTGGCTAACTGCCTAGCTAGCTGGTTGGCTGGCTGATTGTTTGATTGATTGGTCGGTTGGTTAATTAGTGCTTGAGCTAGAAGATTATAACGCAAACGAGCGAGCAAATTTGCAAGTGCAAACGTGCGACGCCCCGCGCCGCACGGTGAATCGCAGCGAGAGAGTGAGTAGAGCAAGTGCCTTGCCGAGAGAGCTCAAAGCCGAAAAACTAACTTCACGAAAAGCCGTTCAAGAGAGAGAAAGATAGAGAGAGAGAGAGAGAGAGAGGAGCATATATATGCACACATATATATGTACGTAGGGAAAGAGAGAGGGGGAAGGAGACAGTCAGACAGACAGAAAGAAAGAGAGAGTGAGTAAGCGAACGGGCGGCCGAGTGAGCGAGCGAACGAACGAACGAACGAGAGCGAGTGAGTGAGCGAGCGGGCAGGCACCTCGTAGCGCTATATTCAGGGCACATGGGATCATCCGGGCCCGTCTCAAGATGAACGGTGATTTTGGTAACGACCAACCGTCCCATCCGACGTATCACGCCACATTGTCATCGTCATGCGGTATTACACGCAATCGAGTTCGGAGTGTAGTCGTGTCTTGTCATCGCGCCACTGCTTCCTTGTCTCTCAGTGACTAGAGTTCTCCTCCACGCCTCGTGTCGGGTCGCGCGAGCGAGCGAGCGTGCGCCGCGCCGCGCCAGCCGCGATCGTCGTCGTCGTGTCGCGCCGCTCTCGCCCGGCTGGAGGAGAGCGGCTCTCTCGAGCTGCGCCAAGTCGTCGCTGCTGTCGTGTCCCGACAGTGCGCGCTATATTTGGCCGATAACGTGCCGTGCGCGCTCCAACATATTGCGCGTTCTGCCGTGCGGGAATCCTCGCTTGGCGCACCGCGGCCCTCGTCGAGCGGCCCCCGTGGTAGCACGCAGTCCGCAGCTCCGTCGCCGAGAAGCGTCGTGCGGCTGTTTCTCGCGCGAGCCCACGTCGTTGCGTCGTCGGCCGAGCCCCCGCGCGCGCGGCTCTCGACGCGCCTCGTCGTCAGCGCGCGCGGCCAACCGGGCGCTGTCGACGTTGCGTCTCGAGATCGGCGAGTAACGCAATCAAATACCGCGCGCGCGCGCGTGCCCCAACGAGCGCGCCTCTCGGGGTCCAACGACGAGATTCCGCCGATCGCGCGTCGCCTCATTGTGAAACGCTATTGTCATCGCGATCTCGGGGGATCGCGCCCGCGAGTGTAACGCCGCCGATACTGCGTGCTCCCCGGTGCCTACGTGTATCGTCATCGGCCAGGGTGTCGTGCCAGGCGCCAGGTTGTTCTATGACTCGGCCGAGCGGCTATTCCGCGGGGATGACTGGTGTTTCCTCGGGACGGACTGTGAGGTTCTCGCGATAGCCCGTGTATCCGCGGGGGCGGCTCGGCGACGTCGCTACGACTGTTAGCTTTCTGTATAGTGCTTCTGTGACCGAGCATCGGGACGTGCTACCGTGGAAGAGGCGTGGGAAGCGTGCCTGATGTGTAACAATCGCACATATGTTATTGTCGGTATGTTCCTTTTGGCCGAGCTGGCGGCACGGTTCGAGAAATGTACGTGGAAATTGGAGTGTACGAAGCGTACGCACGGAGATCCTCGCGCTCCGGTGCGCGTGAATATCTTCAACTTGTGCAGCCAGTTCGACCGGAAAGAAACAGGCCGTGTGTCGCGGACGAAGCTTGACAAATTCCGTACCGTGGCCTTGCCAAGTACCCGATTATGTCATAGAACAACCGGCTGCTGAGGATAATACACGTATGACGTGCTGCATGTGTGAGCTTGCCGCAATCTCAATTATTCGTCTTGCTTTCAGGATACGTGTACATGAATGGGGACATTGGTAAGCTCCCACCAGGGGCGGTCTACCCAGCCACCCCTGAACCCCTGGGTCCGGTTGCAGGCGCGATCGGTGGTGGAGTGTCTAGTTTAGAATACGGAGTCATGAACGGTGCGCCCAGCGGAAGTGAGTTGATTCTCGATGCAGGTGTCGGCAGCCTAGAACCAACGTCGCAACACGCCATAGGCATTGGTGGTGCTGTCGGATACGGTCCAGTGGATGTTGCTGCTCTGGGTGATGCGTCTGCTCCACCCGCATCAATGGCCGATTTATCTGTCCCTGGCATACCCCTGGAACAACTCAAACAGATGCTCTCTTCGCAACTCGAGTATTATTTCTCCAGGTATCGCAGTCACTCTCTCTCTCTCTCTCTCTCTCAGTTCTTAAGTCTCTACGATGCCAGTCTTTCCTCTAGTCGCCGAGCTGCGAGAGGTGAACTCACTCGAAAATACGTACATTTCATTATTGCCCACTCTTCCGCACCGTATTATAGTAATTTTAGTGATCCAAGCGCAAAGAGTTCCTACTGTTTGTTAACATGAAATCATTACAGCAACTGTTGCAACTTCTAATTGAGTAGTGAATGAGAAAAAGATTTGGTTGAAAATAATCTTCTGCAAAATGTGCAACCATCATGCAAATTGCACAAGCGCGTGTATGTATATGTAAAACGTCATTTACGCCTTCGAGTTTAGGCACGTCCGGAGCGTACTCATCGTGTTTAGATATTCTCACCGAGACTCCGCGATATATCTGATAATTTGACACTTGTTTTGTATCGGTGCCTGCGCGCACACACGGTATATGGGTGTGTGCGTGCTCCGTGTGTCTGCGCGCGCGCACGTGTTATGAAAGATTAATAATAATTTCTTAAACGATTCACGAATATCTAAGCGCGATACACACGATGATACATCAATTTAAAGGCGCGAACGATGCCTCATTTGTGTGGCTCAGCGCAATATCAATGACACGACGTTGCAATGGTTTCCAGGGAGAATTTAGCCAACGATACATATTTGTTGTCGCAAATGGACAACGATCAATATGTGCCGATATGGACAGTAGCGAATTTTAACCAAGTAAAGAAGCTGACGAAAGATATTAAGCTCATAACCGAAGTGCTGAGGGAGTCTCCTAATGTGCAAGTGGACGAGGAGGGACAGAAAGTGAGGCCCAATCACAAACGATGTATTGTGATACTTCGCGAGATCCCGGATAACACTCCTCTGGAAGATGTGAAGGTTCGTGCCAGATGAAAGTAGCTCTCTTTCTCTCTTTCGTGATTATCGCGCGAACAAATCACGGAAAATGTGTGAAGCAGACCTACCTCCCCGATTCTCACATTGTTCTTTGTTGCAGAATTTATTTTCGGGGGAGGGATGTCCAAGGTTTATTTCGTGCGAGTTTGCTCACAATAGTTCATGGTATGTGACGTTTGAATCCGACGAGGATGCTCAAAAGGCCTACCGATTTTTACGTGAGGAAGTTCGAGAATTTCAGGTAAGTCATACTATCTGTTGCTTCGTTTAAATTGCTTATTTTGAGCATGACTTGTGATTTTGCGATTGACGATCCGTCGTCTGCACAATCGAAGATACACTTTCAGCCGAATTGGCTGCACTAATTCGAGAAATTTATGTGCACACTGAAGCTGTATGCGTACGAGATTCTCACGCTTCAGTGTAATTTCTCGGACTGTAGTGCAGCTAGTTCAGCAAAAAAGAACAGACCAATAGTTAGCCCCTATATAGGGGCTCGTAACTTCTGTGCACATCTGCGCACTTTCGAGCGTCACTTGCAATTACGTAATAATTTGCAGCACTCAATTTTCGTGACGTAACGTGTATCTTGTTTTGCTTGAGCCAATCTTGATTTTTGTACCAGGGAAAGCCGATAATGGCGAGAATCAAAGCTAAGCCAATGAATAGGCTACCGATACCAGCGGTGGCTGGTGTAGGTGGCATAAAAAATGGCTACAGAACTCCGCCTCCTCCTCCCGTTTACGATCCGAGCAGTTACTCGACTGGACAGCAGCGTTTCCTTTATACAAACGGCACGACCCTGCCTCAAAATACTATGCAGGCGTACGCGAACCAAGTCCACGTTTACGTGAGTATACGCGCGAAGTTCGGGAATCCTACTTCGGAAATCGAAAAATACTCTGACCTTTGATTCTTTTTACTCGCCTTCCAGCATCAACCATTCTATCACACTAATATGATGCCTTGGGGACCAACCAGTCCCGCATACTTCGATATGTCCGGTGTTTTTATGAATGGAATTACACCGCACAACACTTTCAAACCTCACAACACAAGATACAATCCGCGACACAGCAGGTAGGCGTTGCTCTCTGATTTCGCTGCTCCGTCTTTCTTCTCCTCCATCTTTCTCTTTCGTATGGTCGAATTGTATCGCTCAGGATCTCACTCGCTGTACGCAGAAACAAACAGAGAAACGGCTCCGACCGAGGCTGCTTGATAGACCCTGCCAACCCCAGCAACAACAGCAACAACCACCACCACCATCACCACCACCACCACCACCACCATCAGCCGTCGTCCATGCCGCCGATGAGCAGCCGCTCTCATCCACCTCTGACCGGTAACAGCGGTGGCGGTGGCGGCATGCCCCTGAGCTCCTCCACGTCTACCTACGCTCCGAGTCTGCCGCCCTCAAAGCCACTATCTTCTGCCACATCCTCCTCCTCGACCTCTTCCTACCAGTCCGGCACAAAGTTCCATTCCTCGTCCGCGTCGAGCGTGGAGCACGCGAAGGGACCTTCCTCCTCCTCGTCCTCATTGTCCTCCGCGCAGGACCAGGACGCGACTGCGGAACCGTCGATACCGTCGATGCCGCCGTTTACCCGCCATCGTATCAATCGCAGGACCAAAGATCAGGACGCGAAGGCGGCCGCCGGGAACAACTCGCTTCCGGCAATCAAAGAGTCGCTGCCGGTTGGCAGCGGCGGTAGCGGCAGCGGCAGCAACAGCGGTGGCGCCGGCAGCGGCGGTTGCGGCGGTGGTGGTGGCGGCGGCGGCAGCCGCAGCAGCGGCGTCCAGTTCGACTTGGAGGCGGCTGCGTTCCCACCCTTACCCGGCCTCGACGCTGACCTTGGCAAGGCGTCGGTCGACGTCGGCAGCGCCGGCGAATCGTCGCAGAACCGACTGTCCGACGTTGTCAAGGGTACGGCCAAACTCAAGGCCGCTGTCAAAGACAAGGACAGCAGCCAACAGCAGCAACAGCCGTCCGCACCGGCGGCGAACGTTGCCAGCAGGTCCGCTAGTCCCGGAGCTGTTATGGGTGCTGCCGAGGCGCAGGGAAATGCTCTAGGCAATTCTACGACTCCTGCGAGCGCGCTTGTCCTTAACCCTGCGCCGGCCAACAATGAGAATACGGCTGACGTCGCGCTCAGCACCGTCACGCTCACTCCCCCGTCATCTCCTGATAAGTGAGTGGGATCTTTTATTATATCGCATCCTCTCGGTGTACGGCCGTGCTTTGGGCATGCGGAGAGTCGCGTTGCTTTTTCGTTATTCTTATTCGCGCGAAAACCGACCATCTTCGGTCATCCGTCACGGGGGAGGAGGGATTCCGATCGCGAATTCTAAACGAAACGACAGTGTATGTATAGTTTCGTGAGTTCTGAAAGTACGGAAATATGTGTTTCATCATGTGAGTGTTCTTTCTTCCCTTTTGTTTGGTTTTTAGATTCTCCGACGTCGCGCATATTATTTGCATTCTTTCGACACTCCGCGTATATATACGAGGGAAATGAAAGACCGGGAAATACCGGTAGAATTCGTTGCCGGGAGGGACCTTTTGCCGCTTTTTAGCGCTTTTTTAGCGCCCGATTATCGGGGCGAATTTTTCGCTATTCTGTTCAAAAGTACGACGAAACTTTCCGCTTTCCCACACACATACATACGTGTATACATACATCATATATATACATGCAAAAGCACATACATTATATATGCATTTGCAGCGCAGAGAGAGTGAGAGAAAGAGNAGTGTATGTGTGTGGGGATGAAAGACTAAGAGGGGGGGGGGGTTTGAAGAATTCTCGCTCTTTAAATTGCTAAACCTTTAAAAAAGTGAAACCATGTTAGTTTAATTTTACTCGTGATTCATTTTAGTTTTTACTTTTACCTCTTTTTAATCGAACTTTTCATTTTTTTGCTTGTAGCGTTTTTCTCTTATTTCTTTTTTTTTCCCCCTTTTCGTTGAAACACTCATTTAGGTGATTAACGAAATTTCGCATCAAACATTTACGAGTTGTGTTGTTGCCGAATTCCTTGCGTTGGAATTGCAGTTTTCCTCTTCTTTTAATTAATAATTATAAACTTATATATACATACATACATATATATATATATATATATATATATATATATATATATACACATACATATATTCGTTCAATTCAGATTGTTCAGAAAATCGTGTAGTCTGGAATTTTGACTGTTCGTTAAAGTGATCACGTGATAGATCGTTTGCGATATCGTGTTACAATGACACCTCGTCGGAGCGAATTAGCGATTTCAGTTCACGCGATTAGAGCAGAAAAATTGATCCTTCTGACGTTTGCTTTTAGTCCCGTAAATAGATGTATAACGGTTTTACTACTTTGCACTTTTGCTAGAGAGAGAGAAAGAGAGAGAAAGAGAGATAAGTCTTGCTGCGTTTACGTTGTATCTAATCGTTGACGATAATAAAGTCCAATACCTGACGCATAGAAGACAAACGCGAGTGTGGTGTTCGGTGCAGTAGATTCCAGCCAACGACGGACAAAACAGAGAAACGATTTGGGAAATGACGCATCCTTCGAAAGATCTTTCTCGTGTCGTCTGACTTCTTCTCTGTCCCTCGATCAGCGTGCATCTCCGGAATCTCTGTATCTTTCTCGTTATCTCCACCGTTTCGTTGGGTTCTTCTTCGTGTCGATTCTTCCATCGAGCTATCGTCCCCGTGTGTCTCTGGATCCTTAGATTTCTCCTGGGACGACTCCGCATAGAGCCTTAGGTGTTCGCTTTTTTACTTTCTTTTCCTTATTTCTTCTTTCGCCCTGAAGAATTCATCATCGACATACGTGTACGTGCGTGGCGCGAGAATTTGCAAGATCGAAGGACACGCGTTTTCGCGTCATTTTTACACACACATACATACACGCGCGCGCGCGCACGACGGACGGACGAACAATGTCCATGTGAATACAGAGTCCATGTTACAGTTGTGTATCGCGCGATACATCTTGGGGAATGCCGAGTCGCGTTTAATTGTTATTATTGTTGGTTGCATTTCGTGCTGTGTTGTACCGTACCGATGGACACGATGCTTCTTCTACGAGCCGACCTCGAGTCCTCGAAGATACCCCGTCGATCGCACGCCGTCTATCGCTCTGTTACCTGTGCCTAGAAGAAGAGAGAGAGAGAGAGAGAGAGAGAGAGAGAGAGAGAGAGAGAGAAATAATAATTTTTCTTTTTTTCCTCTCCTTTCTTTCATTTTAAATTCTTGTTGTCAGGAGGACATCGGAATCGAAGCTTCTTTTCCGTCGTTATGATATTTAGATACCCTCGAGTAAGGAAGAAAGGACGACTAATCTTTCACATTAGTATTCTCTGAGTTGCCGGAGTAGTCCTTTTTTTATTTTGTCCGCCTGCATTCTCGCCGCTCTTTATCTTCGTTGATTGCGTGTATTTTGTCACACTCTCGTGACACTACTATTTTTAGAGATCCAAGGATCTAAGAACGCACGCGACTCGGTGTTAGCGATTAACATCGAGCTCTCTGAATCTTTTGTCTGCAGTTTCCGGGATTCAGCGCGATTCTTTTCGATTATTCTCTCTAGCGAGAATGTTCTCACACGAAAGATGATTCTCGTGTCCCTCGTGACCTTCGGAATCCTTGGTCGACGTCCTTGAATCCGAAAGAAGTTGTTAGATCCTTGGCCGTGTGCGACACCTTCGCTAATGTCTCTAATTAATTGACAAATTTATTAGAAGAATTAGAAGAATTCATTAGAAGTACTCACAATTGTTATGATTTGCCATAAGTTTTTACTGATATTGCTGTCGTCGCTATTGTGCCTCTTAATTTCAAGAAACTCTCTTTTTTTTCCTCTTCGTTTTTGTATAAAGATCCTAGGTATTTTTTCTCTTTTTTTTTTTGTCGTAAGTATTCTGTAAGCATGTTGTATAAATTTTGGTGTGTAAAGATTTAAGTTTGCAGTATCGTGGATTCTTAGATGCTTAGTTCTTGAGTATATAGTTTCCTTCATTCTTGGATCATTGAATCGCTGGATACTGCGACTTTGTCTCCGTAAGAGAATTGGACATTCGGGAATCAGACCTTGAATCAGGATTCTTGGATTCATAGAGATCACATATTTTACACAGAAATTATTTACTGCGCACAAGACTCAAAATTTTTGTATCTTTGTATCGTCGAGGGAGCTTTTTTTCTGAATATATACTCGAAACATTTTTGGATATCCTCGACATCTTTTTACTCCCTCGCTTCATCATATCTCACATTCACATTCGTAAAAATTTGGATTCCAAGATTTTTCCAAGAATTTCAGAAACCGCCGGGAGATTTTGAAGGAATCCTGAATTCGTAAAAATGACATTTGCACCGAACGAAAGCGAGGTCTGAAGATTTTCGTGGATTCCGGAGGCAAGAGTATCCCGAAGTCCTCCGAGAGTATGTCGAGTTCAAGGAGTAGTCGGAGGATGACGTGTAAGGATCCAAGCGTTCAATGATCGGAGGATCTATTAAAAAATAAAAAATAAAACTATCTCTTTCGATACGATATACCGCATACCCTTCCGTCGAATTCAGCGTTAAGCAAAGAGCCATTGCTAGCGCGTTCAACACGCGCAACTTTTAGGATGCTATTTGTGAGCGGGGATGTATGCGGTATTATGCTATAACAATCCTCTTCTTCTTGCCTGTACTATTGCGGCCAATGAACAATAAGAAGATAAATAAGAATATATATGATAAACACTATTATATTTCAGGGTTCTCNATATATATATATATATATATAACTACCGTCATTATTATAAATTTTAATATTATGGTTATTATTATTATTATCATTATTATATTATTATTATTATTATTAATTATTTGGTTTCAAGTTATTCTTAAAGGCATTTTGAATGAAGAAGTTTCTCTGTAGCTCATAATTCTAACGTTACTGATTAAGTTGTAATTTTCGCGTCACGTGACTGCAAAATAATAAATATAAAAAAAAAACCGGAAGAACGAAGACACACACACACGGCCTCGGTACAGCGCCTGAATTACTTTGGTAATAACTACAGTTGCATTGTCAGCGATAAACTAGAAGTTAATAAACATTGTGTATACTGATGTTTGTTAATCTTGCGATATTGCAAAATCCTCCTTTTATGCGTATCCCTCAATCGTAACACGGCCGGTTTTTCGGTTGTAAAGTGGATCTCTTCTGTACCATGCTATCACTAACAAAAGTATAATATGGTCGCCGATCGAACCCGTTCCTCCGCAAGAACTTAAACCGTTGCACGTGTGCTGTCTTTCTCTGATATCGCCGCTGATATCGCATCGAGATATCAATCGAACAGCGGAATATTCGGATTTTGCGATCGATGATTTTCATTTACTCTAGATTTTCCAGTAATATGACGATCGGCTGTCTGAAGTTCTCGGTGTTCCCGATGGTATAGCTAACACTCACACGTTTAACCACAGAATCACTTACTGAAATTAGCCTCTTGATTACGTGCATAAACGTGAAGTTGACACATGCAGTTATAACGGTAACTAGTGTGCATTTAGTATACGACGATGGTGCTCGTCTCTCTCGTGATTCGTGGTGTTTTATCGCGCTGTTTGTAGCGTTAAAAAACAATCCGACTCTGAACCTTGTTTGTTTAACCACGCGCTTTGATCGCGATCTGTCAGAATTAACCAGCATCTAGTACTAAGTATCACAGTGCGAGCATTGGATGACGGGTGTAAATCTTTGTGTAAATTTCCCCCCGCGTTTACGCGCGCATGCTTCCGAGCGGACGGTCTTTCTTAGCCCTTAGTCCGAGGATCTAAGGATATATGGGAGTCTTAAAAAATATGAGAAAGAAAGATATGTTTCTCGCGTTGCACTGACGCAGCCACGTAGATTTTTGATGTATCTCTATGAGTAACTCGCGTAAGATTGTTACACGTACATTTTTCATATCGTGAGACAAATGCGTCCGATTACATGCTCGTGTTCGAGGATAAAACTGTCCGAGGACGCGAGGGTGATACATACGGAGTGGGCCATTTTAATGTCCCCATCTAAATATCTTTCTTCCTACGTCTTTTATAAAAAAAAAAATGTTTCAGACACAAATTGCGAAGTTTCGAGGGAGACATAATATCGTGATCTTATATTACCCTTGGCCAACATTTTTAGAGTCGTTTGAAGGTCAACTTATTTTTTTAACAGAATCGTATAGTTTCTTTGGGACGAATCGATTCCTCTGTTCATTCTGCGTACAAATGTGCCGGGTAATATAATTGAAAAGTAAATATTTCTCGAGATATATTTTATTTTTTATTCTGATATTTCTTTCGGCATGAAATATGAAATATCTTATAAAGTATTAATTTTTCGATAACACCACTTTAACACTTTTGTACGTAGAATGACAGGTGGAATTGATCGCTGGAAGAAAATATAGAGGAACCCTAAAAAAAATTCATTGCATTTTGCACATGCATCGGTACACTAATGTGCAATGATTAATAATCCAATAATCAACTTCTTTCATATTACTGTGTAGAAAAGCGTTAAGGTGATGTTGCCGAAAAGTGAATATTTATAAGATTTTCATATCTTGTATTGAAAAATATCAAGACAGAAAATAAAATATATATATATCTCTAAAAATGATTCTGCACTATCTACGTTATTACACTTTTCGATTATCTGATCCTGATATTTTTATACGCAGAATAAACAGAGGAATCGATTTGTGTTGATAAAACTGTATGATTCTACTAAAAAAAAATAAAGTTGACTTTGAAATGACCGTGAAAATGCCACTCAAGAGCAATTCAAGTTCACGATATTACGTTCTCCTTAAAACTCTGCAATTTTTGTCTGAAATATTTCTTTGTAAAAGGCGTGGGAGAAAAAATATTGAATTGGGGACATTGAAATGGCCCACCTTCTATATATATTCCTACGGATCCGAGGGATCCATTGCAGGATATCTGAGGATCCACGGATTATTAAGTAAGCATGTGTTAGTCCCTTACTACTGACAATGCACCGCTGACAGATCGATAAAGACTGACGACTCGAACATGGTGAACGGTGTGGACGACGCTGTAGATGCGAACGCGCACATGCCGGCAGTGGTGGTGACGTCGACGACGGCGACGACAACAGCGGCTACGACGACGGCATCGGCGGCAGCGGCAGCGGCGGTGGCGGCAGCGGCGGCGGCGGCTGTGGTGGCAGACGAAGCCGAGCCGATGACCAGGTGCGATTGTAACAGCGTCGTCGTCGTCGTTCCTTCTCCTACTGCCTCACTCAACTCCCAATCGCAAACTGGAGTGGCCTCTACCTTCCCTATAGTGAGTATATATTCCGCTCTAATGCGGATTTTATCGAATTTTTCGACCAACATTTTGACGGCCGCACTTATTTCAAACAAATTTTATTTCGAACAGAAACAGCTCGCTTCAACGAGACGATCTAAAGAGACAAATATTCTCCTTGTACATAAATCCGTACTAGCTTTGTACATGTATATACATCTCCTATGAAGTTACATTTGTAAACCATTATTATTGAGAAATGTTTCTTTATAATCTATAGATTATAAGTCTTATAAGACGACAACCGACTGCTTGTGGGATGAAGTCACGTATGCGTGACAGCGGCCGTCAGAGTGTTAACTAGGACTTTATCAGATAATGCAAACGCTTTCGCGTACTCTTAAGAATTTAAAGGTCCAAGGATTCCACGATTTGAAGATTTTGTCGTACAAGGAGAAAGGATTAGTGTTATCGGGAATCCTGAAATAACGAGCGTAAATATTGAATTACATTACGTCAATTCGTTGAGTACAATCGATAGTTCTTAGAATCCTGAAGATGCTCGGTGACTTGTAAAATTTCAAAGAGGATACTTGGAGATCCATGAGATGTTCATAGATCTTGCTTCTGTAAAATCTGATTCGGGAAGTTCGTGTCCTGTTTGCAATGATTTTTACATTCTACCTAGCAATCAGTATCTCAAAGTGTTTAAATCCGGTGATTTAATGAATGTTTTCTTTATCGCAGGATCTTACAAGGCCGAGCTATGCCCAAGTAGCGCAACATTGCCGCGAGCTACCTTGTACAAAACACAAAACGGACGAGAGGGACAGAAACGTTTAAAAGCGACATGTGAGTACTCTTTTTCCTTCAAATGATGTACGTAAGGTCTCTCTCTCTCTCTCTCTCTCTCTCTCTCTCTCTCTCTCTCTCTCTCTCTCTCTCTCTCTCTCTCTCTTTTCTTCTTCTTCTTCTTCTTCTTCTTCTTCTTCTCTCTATAAAATCACTTCACTCTCACTCACAGAGAGAGAGAGAGAGAGAGAGAGAGAGAGAGAGAGAGAGAGAGAGAGAGTGTGTGTGTGTGTGTGTGTGTGTGTGCGTGCGTGCGTGCGTGCGTGCGTGCGTGCGTGTGCGTGTATCGGTCGTTCCCTCTTCGCGAAACTCGCCCATGAAGTAGCCATAAAAACACGTTCTGTCTCCTTGCCCTTCGAAGGTGACGACGGAAGACGCACGGCGAATTCGGCTTCGGATATCGCCGAGCAAGACGCCTTTGCGGACGTTACCACGCGACGACGGGTTAACAACGACTTTTAGCCGTTGTGTTGCTACGTCATCGTCATCTCCTCGGGGTCGGATCACGGATACCGGAGCCCGGAGCTCGCCGCTGCTTTTCACCACCACCCCCCTTATATTCACCCCCCGGCACTCCTCTCGGATAAGCCGTCACGCGCTATGGGCGCGGAAAAGAGAACTTTTTACATTGTACAGTGACGTCACGCCTACGATCAACGATCGATCGATCGATCGACGGATCGATTAAAAGAAAGAGAGAGAGAGGGAGAGAGAGTGTGTGCATGTGCGTAAACAAGAGCAAGAGAGAGAGAGAGAGAGAGAGAGAGAAAGAGAGAGATCGTGTGTACGAGCGCATATTACGTGCGTATATGCACACGTGCGCTCCGTTTGTGTGCGCGCTCGTGCGTATGTGGCTGCGTATGTATCTGTGTGTCTACGTGTGATTCTGTGTGTGTGTGTGTGTGTGTGTGTGTATGCGAGAGAGAAAGAGAGTTTATGTAAACGTATGAGACTCGCCACGACGCATTATAGCGACGCATTCGCCGGCGCTGTTAATTAATACAGGGTGATCGGAGAGTCCCGTGGTGCGAGACGTGGTTCGCGACAGACACGCGATTGAGAAATATTGCCGATGTGTTTTGGCTGACGCGAGTTGCCGTCGACGTTTTTACGTCGCAATTCGTCTCGATCGTAGTTTCTATGATTCAAGGACACGAGAATTTTTACAAGGGCTTGAGAGACTCCATGGATATCGAAGCGTTCGCGGTCATTGAATCATCGTTCGGGGAGCAAACGCGTCGCGTAAAGCGCGCGAAACACCACCCCTCGCGATATTCTGTTCCATTCGGAGCGGAAGGTGTATGAAATTGATTATTATAATCCGAGGATTCGCGGACTCTCGGGTGGACTCTCGGGCGGATCCGCTGAGAATTGACTCTTGAGGCTTCACGAGACGCGGGGATAAGTGACGATTTATCGATTTTAAAAGCCCTACGAGCTTCGATATGAATACGCAGCTTCGAGTATCTATTAAGCCAAGCTTTAGTTTTAAGATTTCGTCGGTAATTGGTAAGTTAAGGACTCTGAGCTAATAACGAGTATGTATAGATCTAAGGATCTATGAATCCAAAAGTTCAAATACGCGATATATTGTACATGACCATATATATATATATATATATATATAT